ATTTCTATATTTTGTACTTATATTGAAGTTTTTATGTTTGCTTCTGAACTGTACATATGTTGTTTAAATTTGATATAATATGGCTACAGCCATATTTGGATTTGATACTGTTGCGGTTGGATCTAGCATCACTTATTCTTTTTGAACTGGGATACTCATCAGAGTAATTGGGACTTGGAAAGTGTATCAAAAGTCAGGTATTGGTTTGTATTTCCATTTTAACATAATATAGACCACTTTCTCCTAGAATTATTGTGTTCTGATATTGGACTAGGAGAGGGGTGCGTTCGACTTACACTTACTGGAAACAAATTGAACTGTTACGGTAGAAAATCCATCTACAGAGAGTACCTTATTTCCATTCAGCTGGGAATTGGTGACTTCAATGAATTCCTAGACAGGTCACATACCGGTGAACTGAGTGCCTCCTTATACTCTTTCAAGTATATAGTGCTGATACTGTCATATCCTGGTGACTTTCCTGTGCAAGGATTTTAGTTTTTTTAGCACTAGGCAAGAAGTAAGTCGTATATTTTTCACTTTATTAGGTGGCACTAAATTTGAGCAGTAATCTGTGCTTGTTGGTACATGGTCTAACTGGCCAGTCAAATCAGCATAAAGGGCTCCGCCATCTCCAGGTTACAAAGATCTCCATTTAGACTTTTAGCAGCAAGAAGACCCTGGTTCGTAGGCTCTCTTTTGGACATGGACCTCAACAGATTTCTCCGGTTTGTCTGTATTTTGACAGATTGTTTCGTCTCCTATCGTCTCGGACCCTGGCATTGCATCGCTTCTCAATGTCAAGCGAAAACTACGGTCAGAATCCTTCACAGCGACTTTCCGACTGCATCAGGCTCTCTTTTTCTTCTCTAGTATGTGGTCACTGCACTCCCAGCCCAAGTTCTTCTCTTTTCAGGTATGTGATTTGCTTGGGGTATGATTTTTAGGGTAGCATCCTGATGATTGTCTGTTGTAATCTTCTACCAGTCAGTCAGCCCGGAATATCTGAAAGCTGGAACAAGTCACTTCTGGTACAAACCTGTTGGATATGCACCCCGCCTGCTTAGATGTGGGGATGAAGTTTTTAATTCTGCAGCTAAGTGTATTTGATGAGACTCCAGGTGTGGTGGTTGAAGTATGGTCTCATTCAACTTATCGTTCTGGACTTAAGTGCCTGGTGGGCGCCGGTAAATCCGTCCAATCGAGTAGTTTGTGTCATTCAGCCACGCCAGTTTTTTGGAATGGCGGTAAATATATACCAGTACTCCACCTGTTTTGTTTAGCCTCTCCCAAGGAAAAAGTTTCTTGCCTTGAAAGTCATGTTTCGTTAAAATTATGGTTCGCAGATCTGCCTGAGAGTACATGTTTCTGATCTCCTACAATTTACTCCTGACTCCTCTTACGTTGCTAGAGACACTTGCTTGTTTGTCCCACTATCTGATACTCCTCTGTAGTAGCATCCATCGGCGGATTCTTAAAAAACTTGGTTGAATCGGATTAGTCACTGCAGGAGTTTTGCTTGCGCAGTGTATTCTAGTGGAGATTTTGTGGTCCCTGTGTCTTGCGTTGTGGGTTATTGATCGGGGTTAACCAAAGCTAATGTGTGCTTCACCTGGAGCCCTGCTATAGTCTATCTAGTCTAGCTCGTATCCCATGACAGATGATGTGACTAGAAAGATGATTTTTCTCACTGCACCAAGCCCGAAACTCCTCAGTTTGGTCTTCCCGGTTTCTGAAGCTTTCAGCAACCTGACTCGATGGCATAATAGTATTGAGATGTAGCGGACAAGGAAACTGGAAAAAGCTAGCTTTTATGGTAGTGCGAAGCTTAAGCCATGTTATATCCACCTCCAAGTTGAATACTATGTGAGTGAGTTTCTATCAAGCTACAAACAACCAGTTCGGGCTCCTCATGACCCACTAAACTGGTCGGTTCTTTGGTGTTTAGTGGTGTTCCAGTGGCTACCCGCACCGATCAAGCTTTGTCGGACCAAACTCGGATCGTGGAGGACATTTTAACTTAAATTCTCTAAAGTTTTAAGAAGGTTTCTTTGGCAACCTGTGCTGAGTCGACAGTTACCCTCAGTGGAAAGGGTTTCCCCTTCGCTACATTCCGCCCCCTAAACAGATGGCATAGTTTGGCACTATTCAGTATCTATCCTACTGTTCTTCATGGAAGACAGACATTCTTCCCAATAAGCTACCCTCCGACAGTGGTGTTACGTCCAATTTTTTGCTCCCTGATCCTTAGAAGCACTGTGTGTCGATCTATTTGCAATTCACGATCCCAAACATTATGTCAAAACGAAACTCCAAAGTAGGTACCAAAGTTTATTGCCAATTCACAAATAATCGACCAAAATGTGTTTGTTTATTACAAATAGACGACCAATGTGGTTTATTTTATAGATTCCTGGAGCAAAAAACTGCAAACGAACAACCAAGACAAACAGGAGTCAAAAATGGCCGAAAATAATAATTCAAACAAGTTCGTAAGTTAAGTAAAACAAATATACCCAAAAAAACACATTGAAATTAATGATATTTATATATAAAGGTTTTGATCAGCAAAATGTCTTCATTTCTCCCGTAACAAGTGGAACACTAAATAAAATTATTGAATTTTATCTTACGCCCCCGTCCATGATTTGTAACGTTTTTCGACCTGTGGTTTAGCCGTTTCCCTTGCTAACGCTCACCCACTGCTCCGTACTGTTAGCAGACCGCGAGGTATTTTCAAAAACCAATGATGTCGTACGAGTACGAGTTGCAGCTGCCGTTGTCGCCTGTTTAGTCGATCCTTCGTTAGGCTAATTCAATAAACTCTTGGGGGTCGATAGATTTGATTTCGGTGGGAGTCTTTTGCTCCCCTTTCGTTATTATTGCTTGCCTACTGATTCCACACCGAGGGTAAACTTGCCTGAACCACGGACTGGTGTGACTTGGCATGGGCCAATAGTACTGCTTCGGTACTGCAGTATCTCACGGACAGTAAGACCATCCACAGCATAAGTCAAATACAAATGCAGTCATTGGTTTTAACTGGTAACAGGCATACGTAACAATTATCATTATTGTGCTTGTTCTGAACAGCAGGCTCTGTCGTCCCCGTTGAAGGATGCCCTTTTTTCTATATTTTTATCGCCTATCGGTCTTACTAAGACGGAGTTTCATCCTGGGTTCTTTGTTCAAGTCCCAGTTGAGTTGTCTGGTTCGAGTAATCCCAGTTCAACGCACTGCTACGAGGTTTATTATCCAGAGTCGTTATGAGGTTTCTAACAATTCCAATCCTAGAAACTGAGATTTTTGTCTCAATACCGGCCCTCAAATCAACACCTCTACTAGCTTTCCTAGTTGTTGTAGTGCAAAAACTGGTGGCAACGCTATAACTGCGTATTTCTCGGTAGACGTAAAAGTAGATTGTGAGATAATTTGAAGAGTGAAATACTCAAAATAGTAGTTCTGAGGGGAGAAAGTGATGGTAATAAATTGAGTGAATATATGCTGCGCAATAGAACAGAAGCCGAAAGACACTCAAGATTGCAACTTTACCTTTAATCATTATGACGGGCGGTTTCGCGAGTGCCCAGCAATTTTTCATCAAGTCCCGTGTTTGCAAGTGAATGAGTGTGTGTATGCTACCGTTGGAGAAATTAGGAACAGATCAGTTAATTCGAGACAGCTAAACATAACGCATGGTAGTTTCGCGTTCTTATGATTACGGCCAAATGATTTGTTATTATGATTGTCTGTCGACGAAAGAAAATGAAGTTTTTATTCTCTAGAATCTTTAAACTTACCAATCCGCTATCGAAAACCTGATCGTTTCCCGTTGATGTTGAGTTGTCAAAAAGGTCACAGGAGACGCAGGGAGTATATGTGTCTGGATATTCACCACCGGTTTCGACAGTCGTAATTTCTTAGTTAATCCAGCTTTCTTTAGAACGTGTAGACATATGGAGCTCCAGTCACGAGTTTTGATGATATTAATGAAAATTCGATTGAAAAGTCGGTAGTTCCCTGGTAAGTAATTGGCTCTAAACTCGTGAATATTTCGAAGATTCTTTTTGGAAGGAAAGAAAAACGAGGACATGTCGGATGCAAATTCACCATTATGTAAACCGCAAACAAGTTTTTCTAGTCATTTTACGTGACAAGGAGAATAGACTTAGTTTAGGTGATCTGTCGTCACCGAGAAGCAACTTGGTTGCTGTTCTTTGAACCTTTACAATGGCTCACTGTTTTTTAGGCAAGAGGTGGGTGCTTGTGTGCAGTTTTCCAGTTTAGAACGAATGCAAACTGTGAAAAAATATTTAGCGACTATAAAACTAAAAGCTCTGCTCACTGACCGGAAGGTTCTGAAATTTTTGGCAGCTCTCACACTGCAGTGTTCATTAGTTTTCGACCAACGGCTATTAGTGTCTACCATAGCACTGTATGTTTGAATATCTGGCAGCTGAGTGTTATTCGCCATGTGTGTATATGTACCTTGATATGAACTATAATGCACCCGGGAGCACTTACTGGTAACTGCATAACTTCAGACCTCTCATATTATTTCCGAAGATCATTTTAAAGCGCTGACCTATCATCTTAATTTTATATTGCACTCCATATTTTGATATTATCAACAAAACCGATGACGTATAGAGACTTTGGTGGTCATTTACGAGCAAGAGGAAAAACTTGTGTTCTACGCCGTCACCATAACTGCACCATAAATAGTTTTGTGGCTAAAGTACTTGGAGTTAACCTAAACACTATGTTGATGATTTGCCTTCCATCTGAACATCAGTTTTACAGCTGATGCTAGTTTGTGATGAAAACCCTGTCTTTGCTTCTCACTTCAAACCTCTAACGTGTCATCCGAATTCCTCACACAGACATACAATCCTCTTTTGACACTAGTTAGTGGATGAATTTTGTTAAAATCAATAATGAATCGCTCACAGACCGTTCATGAATTATTATTTAACCAATCAAACTCATTGGAAACATACGCCCGCTTGATGCTTCGATTGGGCAGGTTGCAACGCATATATTGGTACTCTGCGCATTTCAGTTGCAGTACAATCCAATATCCAATATCTTTTTCACGAGCTAGTGTAAACCAATTAATTTCTTTGCGCTCGATTCTTGTTCTTTATGTACGGTTCCAGGTGTACGGTATTGTCCAATGGAGGAGGTCTAGCCACTTGATTGTCTAATTCTGGTCAGTTATTAGTTGGTTGTGAGTTTGTATGTCCCGTGATTTGAATGGAAACGTTTGTTTCAGGGCAGTAGGGTTTCTGGATACCAGCAGCTATCACATTACCAGACCGGAGATCAGTTAGTTGCAATTTGGAAGACACTAGGGATAAAATTCTAATGCTAATATGGATTAAATTTCAGAATTGAGTAATATATAGATGATTTAGTTTATTAATTGGTAGTGAAAATTGTGAGAGAGGACCGTCGTGTAAGCAAGGGGGAGGGAACAGAGATGAGAGGCGATATAGATTGATTGAGTGATCTGAGGATATGGCAACGATAACAACTAGCAGGTCTCAAGATATGCATCATGAACAGCTTGTTCAAGAGGGAGATGATAAACCGTATGTGAGTACGTGATTATCAAGTCTCTTCTTAAAGCTGTCCACTGAGGGGGCTGTGGTCACCTCGGCTGGGAGAGCATCCCAAGTTGCGACGACTCGCAATGAGAAAAAGTGTGCACGTATCTGAGTATTCGCTCTTTGATATGCAATCTTTCGAGGATTTCCTCAAGGGGAGTGGTGGTGATGCATCCGTAAGATGCTCACGTTGGGATGGTTTGGCATGCTTAATATGTTGTACGCCATAGTCAGATCACCTCTGATTCTCCTGTAGCTCAGTGGAAATAATACCAAGTGCTGGAGTCCATCTTCGTAAGGCTTGTTTTTCTACCATATCACCCATACGGTTGCTCGTCTCTGCACTCGATCCAAGAGATTTGTGTCTCTTTTAAGCAGACGGGGTGCGATGACATTGTGAACCTCCGGGTGTGGGCACGCGTACGTCTTAAATAGTGTCAAAAATAATTGCGGGGTGATAGCACCGAGTTGTCTTTGCATAAAGTGAAGGGTCTCATTTGCCTTCGCTGCGTCTCCTACATAGTGTGTGGAGGCTTTCGGTGGATATTAAACCGAGATCGCGCTCTGAGGAGACATTAGGGAGCGGACTTCCATTGAGGGTATAGATTGTTTGGGTCGTGTGAGGCAGGAGATGCATGACGTGGCACTTCGGTTGGCTGAGTTTTAAACCGTTTATCACCGCCCATTCCTTTATAGATGTTATGTCCTTTCGAAGCCCATCCGAATCCTCTTCGCCACTAATGTACCTCCAGATCTTCGCTTCGTCTGCGTAGATCAATGCCGGTGAGCTAACTGAACCTCACACGTCGTTAATAAATAGCAGGAAGAGGAGTTGCCCTAAGATGGTCTCCTGTGAAACTCCCGATATGGATACTCGCCTACTTGCCAGCTCAAACCTATTCCTACATCGCAATACATAACTCGACGAGGCAGTCGGAGGTTCGGCATTCGTACGTATGGATTATTAACTCATTCCTGCACTACCTGTGCCTGATGTATGTTTCCAAACTCTCTAATTTTTACTATTTCTATTTCCTCAGATCACTAACTTAATCTATATTGCCACATATCGCTGTTTTCTTTCCCTTGCTTACACTTCTTTCCTCTCTCACTATCTTTACGACCATTTAACTAACTTATTTATCTATTTATTTGCTGAGTTGTGAAATCTTCTTGTTGGCGTTAGAGTTTTATTTCTATTATTCTCCACATTACGACTACCTGATTCCCGACTTGTCCAGAAATCCTACAACCCTGATGCAAACTCAATGAAACCATGGAACATATGAATTCATGAATAACTGCAAACTGACTAGATTTAATGCAAGCGAACCTGGAACCGTACCGAAAGAACAATAATCGAGCGCAAGGAAATCAACTGGTTCATACTAGCTCATGAAAAAGATATTGGATATTGGTTCCAACTAAAATCGTACTTTTTCGCTACACTTCGATGTCAGTAATGTATGTAATTTGGTCACCAACTATCGGGTTCCCTCTGTTACTTTTAGGCTAAAGCGCTCCGAATATTCAACCAAATGTCGTGCGAGAAACGACTACTTGAAATTTTTGAAACGTAGACGATGTGAGAGAACTGTTTATGCATTGATAACTGATGTTGAATCACGACATGTACATTTCATCTATTGAATCAGTCATACAAAATAAATCATGTATATATTCTTTATTCAGGCTTTTTTTGGGTCTGGAGGAATATACGATTTGCTATCATATACCACAATAGCTTATGCCTGAAATCATAGACTGTAGTGTTGAGGGGAAACTAAATTATTACGCATGTACTTTGACGATTAATGAACGATTCACAGGCATGAATTCAAACAGTACTAATTGTGCCAAATAAATCTACGGGTCTCAAAATGTTATATCGTAGATGTAGTCTACATTATCAGTGACTGATTGCTATCGTGACAATAACTAGCATCATTTGTAGCGGCAAAACCTAGTAGTTTGTCAAGCCAATGAAGAATGTCATACGTAACATGCTTATTCTTCTTAACGAGCAAACTATCCCACAAAGTTTTCTGTTCAAAATATACGCGGGCAGTTTGCTAGCTTTATTAGTGGAATTAGCCGGCACTAAGTTGTTTTGTGAATGCGACCTAATGCTCTTACGTTTCGTTGAAGCTTAATCAGAATTATCCCGGTGAACCCAAATCGAGTGATCAAGACATTTTATTATGTTTTCCTCGTACAGTAATGCTGTTTATTTGTTTTTGACAGGTATTACATTCACCAACCTTGATGTTAACACTTGTAAGAATCGTCAACTTGGAGTTCGTCTTTTTAACCATCCGCGTTTTATTCATTTAGTCATTTCACAACTAATAATCCCGTACAATCACATCTCCAATATATTTTACTCCGAGAAAGTATGTTTGTATTGCATACTATGTGTACTTTTTTAGATTCGGTTTGTTTAGGAAAAGCTATTTTGATAATGGAGATGAAAGACAATGTAATTTTGGCATTTTCAATAACGTATTGTTAATAATTCTAGCCCCCAAAACCTTTTGTGTTTCCAGTTATGAAAAAGACAATCGAAGATCTTTTTACTAAGTCAAGGATCACGAAAAATGATATTGAAGCCTTCCAAGACAAATATTGGGAACAACTTGTTCCAAATTTCAGTCAAGCACTAAAACTTTTAGATATACACGGAGTTCCGAGACATAATATTTTATGGGTATATGATATTCATAGTTACTTATCTCCTTTTAGAGCATAAATGATCGCCTTATGGATGCTATTAAGGCTAGAGTTGACTCGAAACCTGATGATTGCGATCAGAAAAAATGCCAAAAGCTGTGGCAGAAGCTTATCAAGACGGGGATAGTGTATATCCATCACCCATACATGCGTTCATTAATCATGCAGGTATGTATTATTTTTATCTGCATTTGGAAACTTTTGCAAGATACTCTTGTGTAACCTATAGAAAGCTCTGAGCGTTAGTCTTGTGCATGTTGGAATTCACTAGTTAGTGTGTCTTCCAAATGTTTCAGGAAGTGTAGTTATATTAAGCCTCTTTCTTTGAGGGTGCTGATAGTTTTTCCTGACGAATCCAAACAACCACTAATCTCAATTCTCGGTCTAAGTTGTAACTACCTTACAGCCGATGATTATATTAGAGCAAGTGCTGTATATGTTTAGTTTCGTTCCTCAGGTAGCTGGACTCTTCATTTAGAGTATTATGGAGATGGTGGTTTTACCGTGAGATCACGAATGAATCATTGTTAGACCACCATGAGAAACCTGGAAGCACTGGACAGCTGTTTCGTCCTGTTATGGGACTCATCAGCAGTGCACAAGCACAACTCCTGCAACCTACCGGATTCAAACCCAGGACCTTCGGTATTGCACACAACCGCCTAACCTCTGGACTACTGGGCCTGCATCCAACGGTCTTAATGTCTAACTCTGATCAATCTAGGGATTTTGTGCGACCTCACCCATTTGTCTTTGGTAGTTACTGCCTACACCCGACAGGATTGAACTCCACTGCTCACATCATTCTTGGAGTTCTAGTAAGCAGACGTGACCAGTGGAGTTCAACGCTGTTGGGTGTAGGTAGTAACTACCGAATACAAATAACCATTCAATACATAACATCATTAGATGTTTGGTTATTTAAATTGGTACTCATGCCTGATATTTCCGTCTCCGTAATCATTACTCATTCTTGCTACTGTATTTGGGAACTGTTCTTAAATGAACCCTTTTCGCTACCAAAAATAAAATTTCTTTAATTGAATATTTTCATTTCATGTCAGCAGGTTAAGAAACTGGTACTGGTGTATGTGTTTATTTGTCGCCTATGTATATAATCTAAATGGCTATTGAATGTAGTCAAAGTCGCAGGTAAAATCAATCACTAAACATATGTAGTCAACTCTTTGGGGATATAGATAGTAGAATAGTAAACTACCGTTCTATGATCTTTTCCACGTTCACATTATTATTATCCTCAATCAATTCTACCCTTTCTTCGTCTTTTTAACAACAGAGGAATTATTTCTAAAAGTCTGTGAACATCAGAATTACTTTAATACGACGTCTTATCATCAATCATATTCCTTGAGTTCAATATAAACTTATATACTTATCTCTGTTGTATCGACTGTTGCTTCTTTTATATTTGGTACTAATAGTAGTTTTTTGTTAAGATGGTTATGTTTTCTGTGATCACTGCTTATCTTTCCTTTGGTTTAAAGGTTCTTGGAAAAATGAATTCGATTAAAGAAAGACATGTCAACTTAATTGTTGATAACAAATATTTATATGATGATGCCCCTCTACCGGTCTTACGTCATATTTGGGTTGCTCATCCTCACAAGTACGTGGTAGATTTTTGTTAGGTTATAAACGTAATATCTGATAATACGTGCGGATAATCTAATTCTTCATGAGAACGGTCATAGGCTGGATGGTTAGGAATAATCCTTGTTGAATAGAATTGCAGAAATGAAGGCCTATAATCTTCAGTTTTACAGATACTTCATGCTAATAGGTAACGGTTCACATAAAACGGGCACCGCAGTGGAACTTGTTTCCAACTGACCTCATGTATTCAATAATAGATACTGTTCTCCATATTTGGACTTCATTGAAATTATTTACCTAGTTCAAATTTACATACTCAGCTTTAACCAACACTGCTCAGACTGAGGTGAGTAGGTAAGGTGGAGTTTGAGTCTATGACTTACTGGTTGAAAACTGGGTATTTTGATCATTTATTCATTGATTAGTAGTGACTAATGCAATTTACTTAACAGCGCAAAACAATATTATCTTGTTGCTCAAAATCGACACTGTGATTAGCGATAGAATCTTGTTTGAAACTCACTGGCTCTATAATACCTGCAGCCCAGTATTGATTTTCACTTTTTCACTCGAATCCAGTACCTCCCATTATAAATATCTACATGTTACCCTTTAAGCTATTGAGTCCAGATAATCACCAACCAATTCAATAGTTATGATGTTTATATCACCATTAATAGGCCTGATAAGTTGTTCTGTTATGGATATTGAAGACTGAACTTCAGTCAATCTTTGTTAGCATTTTATTCTTGTGTGAATTACCCTGATATAATCATTTTGTCATAAGTTATTTAGAATAGATGAATTTCATTGACTGGAAAAATCCAACACTTGTTAGTAATGATATAGGTATTACCTTTACTCATTTCTAAAAACCAAATAGTATCTGTAGATTATGCCTACTATTTTTTTATTAGTAAATCTATATCTTAAATACTAAATCAACCAGTCTAATGCCCGACCGTGGCTGCTACCTTGACGTGGTGGTCGGGCTTGCCTATCGTGATGACCCAACCGAGCTATACTGGCTGGAACATATGTTCCTGCAGGTCCTACCATGCCAGGCTGGTCGATTGGAGAACGATGAGACTAAAAGCAGCTACCCAAGGTCTGAGGGCGAAGTCGTACTGCTGACTGCAGAGGGGTGTGACAGCAGTAAGGTGTTTCCCTCGGACAACCAGCATCTGCAGCGATGCTGCCTTCTCAAAAGGAAGGAAGGGTTAGAAAAGGTCGGCCCTAAAAATGTCACACCTCCCCTAACTCACGGATTTCCGTCTCCTTGGGTAAGGGTGCCCACTAAGGGCCTTTAAGAACGGAGCTAATCCTCTAAATACCTTTCATAAAAAGGCCGTGCGTGACCGGCCTCAAGCAGTTGTCCCTTGGACTCTGCGGTCACGCACCAACACTAATCTATTTTCCTTTTCAGGTTCCTCAAGAAACAACCTTCCACGGTGTGGGCAGCCGGGAAGTGACAACCGCCCTCATACCCATAACAGCACGCGAGACCAAATTGGTCAAAATCAAATCCTTCCTACACCCCCTAATGTCTCTCTTATCTCCACGACTAACTCTTCTTACATTCATTCATCACATTGCACAGCTAATGCAGACGATACGAGTTCGCGAAAGGTCGTTCCTGGTCTCCTTAAACCTCGCTCTAGACTACATGTTGGAGCATTTAATGTACGGACATTGTGTCAAATAGGGCAACAGGCTTCCTTAGCTATGACTTTAGAATCTCGTGCCATCGATGTATGCTGCGTCTCGGAAACGCGCATACAGGATCCGAGTCACGTCATACACTTGACCACACCATGTCAAAATAAAGAAGCAGCTCGATTTACTCTTCGTGTATCCGGTAGCCCTGATGCTGCTTCCCGGGGTCTTACTGGCGTAGGCATAGCATTGAGTCGTAGGGCAGAACAATCTCTCCTTGACTGGATCCCAATAGATAGTCGATTGTGCGCTGTCCGACTAAACGGGACAGTAAGGACTCGGAAAGATAGGGACAATCGCCGTTGCCTCTTCATCGTATCTGCCTATGCCCCCACTGAATGCAGTTCAGACGAGGTTAAGGATGGGTTTTACAGAAAGCTTTCGGACCTCCTCCAAAAAGCTAGGCGCTCTGATATAGTAATAATGGCTGGTGACTTTAATGCTCAAGTAGGTAGACTAAGTGAGCAGGAGAGACACCTAGGTGGATGTTATGGTGTCGCGGCTCAGAGAACAGACAATGGTGACCGTCTGTTGCAAACATGCTCAGACAACCGCCTATTCTTAGCAAACACTAACTTTAGGCATAAGGAAAAGCACCTGTTGACCTGGCGACCTCCAAAGTCGTCTCAACGTTGGACTCAACTAGATCACATCGCCATCAGCCACCGATGGAGGGGTTCGATAGAGGACTGTCGCTCGTTCTGGGGCACATGTTTGGATTCAGATCATGCCCTAGTGCGAGCGCGTATTTGTTTGAAGCTTACTGGACGTAGGAAAGACACCGTAAGAAAGCCTCTTAGGGTTTTGCTTAATGATAATAAGGCGAAAAATATATTTCAGGAACAACTAGAAAGACAGTTAGGCGACCATTTAAGCGATTCCCATCCGGAAGCAGGATGGAATGATATCAAAAAGGCTGTGGAAACAGCAGTGATATCTGCTAGTGAGGTTGACCATAAGGCTAGAATGAAACCGTGGATCTCAGTAGCATCCACCGATCTGATGGATGCCCGAAAACTCATCCCACCTGGCTCTGAGCATGATAAAGAACGAAGTCAACTTAGGCGCAGACTTATGAAAAGCCTACGTAACGATCGCGAGCAGTGGTGGGTGGCGAAAGCAAAAGCGATGGAAAAGGCAGCGGCGATCGGCAACAGTAGACAACTTTTCCGCCTTATTAAAGAAACTGGTATTAAGAACCCGAATGTGAGTGAGACTATCTCGGAAAAGGATGGTCTTATTATCCATTCTCAATCCAGGAGACTGGATCGATGGGCAGAACACTTTAGGGATCAGTTCAACTGGCTACGAGCCACTCTTCGGTTACCCACGATCTCCAGTCATCCTGAATGGCAAATCGACGTAAGTCCCCCTAGTCTTTATGACGTTGAGAAAGCGTTAGGAAATCTGAAACGAGGACGAGCTGCAGGTCCTGATAGACTTACCCCTGAGATATTTAAGGATGGAGGTCCAGTTTTATCAGCTAGGTTGACTGAGATCTTAGGTAGAATCTGGGAACTGGACGCAATCCCATCCGACTGGTCTCAATCCTTGATTGTCCCAATCTATAAGAAAGGACAGAAGTCTTCTTGTGACAATCACAGGGGAATAAGCCTAACTAACATAGTATCTAAAATATTGGCCTCAATAATACTTCGACGCTTAACGAAAGCTCGTGAAGAGCAAACTCGGGAAAACCAATCTGGTTTTCGACCTGGACGTGGCTGTATAGACCACATTTTCACACTACGACAGGTCCTGGAACACAGACACACATTTAGGCGTCCTACAATAGTTGTTTTCCTGGACCTTAAGGCGGCATTTGACTCAGTGGATCGTGAGGTTCTGTGGCAGTGTCTGTCATTGAAAGGTGTACCACAGAAGTACATTAACCTTATACAAGCTCTCTACTCGAACACCACTGGTTGAGTGAGAGCTTATGGCGAACTGTCACCGGAATTCTCTACTTCAAGTGGTGTCCGTCAGGGATGTCCACTTTCTCCATTCTTGTTCAATTTTATCATAGACATGCTCCTAGAACTTACCTTATCCTCGTCTGAATTTTCAGGAGTAGACCTTTTACCAGGTGGCTCGCTTATTGACTTAGAATATGCCGATGACATAGTCCTACTTGGTGAAGACGCTGAAAAAATGCAGAGTCTTCTGACTACCCTAAGCAACAATGCAAGCATGTTCGGGATGCGGTTTTCCCCCTCGAAATGCAAAATGTTGCTTCAAGACTGGGTGTCATCGGCACCTGAACTAGTGATAGGGAGTGAAGTGGTCGAACGTGTAGACCGCTTCACCTATCTTGGGAGTCTCATCAGCGCTGATGGCCTGGTGACTGACGAAATCTCGGCACGGATACAGAAGGCTCGATTGGCTTTTGCCAACCTGCGTCACTTATGGCGTAGGCGAGATATCCGTTTGCTGACTAAAGGACGAGTGTACTGCGCAGTGGTTCGCTCTGTCTTACTTTATGGCTGTGAAACATGGCCAATGAGAGTAGAAGATACTCGACGGTTATTGGTTTTCGATCATAGGTGTCTTCGAAGCATTGCTCGTATATCGTGGGACACCCGAGTTAGCAACGCTGTTATTAGGAAACGGGTACTAGGTAAGAATGGCAGATCAATCGATGAAGTGGTGAAACTTCATCAGTTGAGGTGGTTGGGACACGTGTTGCGTATGCCTAACCACCGACTGCCTCGTCGAGCTTTGTTTTGTGGTGTAGGAATAGGTTGGAAGAAAGTTAGGGGCGGTCAAACCAAAACATGGCATAAATCCATGAAGTCATTGACGAGTGGACTTAGCCATGTCGGTAATTGTCGACTACCTGGTTGGGGTCCGCGAGATGATAATAATCGATGGTTAGAGACCTTGAATGACATGGCTCAAAATCGTTCGCAATGGCGCCAGTGCATTTATTCTTTGTGTTCTCTCAAATCCTAATCTTCTGAGTTCTTCAACACCTCTAGCTTTTACTTTCTAAACTTATCTCATTGAATCACACTTCGTGAATAATATCTTCTAATTCTAACGTCTACGATTACTTCTAATACCTTTACTACCTCTTCTACTATTGGATTTGAATTGACAATTATATCTCTGTGCTGATGTGGTATGGCGACATGAACTGATGTACTTACGTACGAAGTTCTACGTTGCAACTGACTGACTGACTGACCAGTCTAATGCTGATAAACAACAATCAGTTATTATCTTATTTTATAATTTTAAATTTGATAGGAATGCAGGTTCTTTAATTTTTATTTACTTTCGTTTAGAGTATTTGATTATACAATTTAAAAAAGTGGTGTAATTCCACAGCTATTAGTATTCAGTGTGATGTCGTCACTTCATTGTTGACTATAGTGGACATGATTATATAAACCTTTATTATTGACCGACCCATAGTATTTAATAGTTTTTTTCGGGGAAAAACATTTCAATCTTTCTAGCAGTTAGGGATCGTTTAAAATTAGCTGGATAGCTTTATGTATGTTGCTAAACTAACTGTAGTGTGATTAATAACGTCAGTTTCATTTTTAAGGTTGATTAGATTGTAGAAAAATAATTAATCTAAGTTTCTAATTTATCATTAGTCTCAAATCTAATCATTACAAAAAATTGGCGATTGTTACTACATACTGTTGTGATTTGATAAGACATAAGTATGCTTCTTGTACTAATTTCAAGTTTCGTAAATTTCATTCGTTAGAGAGTGTTTCAAAGGTTTTTTTAAAAATATTTACGGGCTCCGGATGATAACATCTATAAGGTTTACATTTGGTAAGACGAACTCATGCATTAGAAAGAGTTTTTTTCAAGTTTATGTCTATTCTTCTTTCTAATCCATGTCACTATAAACAAAACCGTGATTTAGTATAACAAAAATGTAAATGAATTTAAGAGATTTTTAGTGGGCGTGTTAAATTCGAAGTAGGGCTCACCACTTTAGTATCCCGTGATCTGACTCCTTTTGGGGAGAACGATCGAGTATGCGATCAAATAAATCTTTCTTTTCATTTCCGTTTGTTGCACTTAGGCAACTGTTTGTGCGACGGCAGTAATAAGTAATCGAATACGGTTTTGTGGATGTACTTACTTCATGCATTCATTTAAGCAGACAGACATGAGAATAAGAAGCGAAGTAGAGAAGACGAGCGAGATTGATTGCATAGTTGAAAATATTGGTTTCTGTGATGGATGCGTTCAGTTTTTAGTTGAATACACTAACTAGCGTTTGTTTACATTAAATATGTTTTATTGTTTATGAAAAAAAACAGGTTTCAAGAAGAATTAGATAAAGTTGTGGCAACATTTCAATCTACATGGTCCACCGCTATTTTGGATGCTCTTTCAATGTCTATCATGTCCACTGCATCGACAACAGCTGATCTTGTCCCGATTCTTTATTGGCCACCTCGTCGTCGTAGACGTGATCCTTCAATTGTACGAATTGTTGAAATGATTGGAGAAGGACAAGTTTTGTATGATAAGGTGACTGACTATCCTATACGGTTTTTGAAATATTTTTCATGTTATAACTTTCGACTGTTGGCTAAATTCACAAGATACAAATACCAATCGGAATAGGTTTCAGCGCTAACTACCTTAAGTCAACTGTTAAGTTCCTATCGGTTCACAATTCTCTAGCTTCTCTCTGCTTGAGTCCAGAAATCAACAGAAAGGCTGTACTAAATTTGTATTTAAGATGGGCGTATTCTATATATACAAGCAGACAAAGGCTGCATCACACCATGAATGAAAAAAATAATTACACATGGACAAACCGAAAAAATAGCTTGAATAAGGTGAGCTGTAAATAAAGGACTAGCAACAAAATAAGACTAGTAAATCATATGACAATAGTTGGTGAGCTAAACGAAAGCTTATGATAAAAGAAATAGGAATATACGATAATCTGGTTATTCAATAAGTACGAATATATGTACGATAATAATACATAAATCAGTTCTGTAAGTTACAATTACTCCTTAATCTTCATTCGGATATAACGCCTAAATGAACTTGATATAAGTTAGTAATAATAATCATGATACTAACTGATAATATTGTAAGACATTCGCACTAAAATACTTGATTAAACAAACATACCTCATGTCAAGATGGTGTGCATGGCTGTTTCAGTTGGGGATTTACTCTTGCATTTCTAGATCAAATCGATCAACTGGTACTGTGTCATGAATTATGAATTTTCTTGACTTATTAGACGAGCATTTAAGAATGAATTAATGAGCTTATTATTGGTCGATTGTAATATCCAATAAGATCAATAAGACCAGTAAGGCCAAGTAACAGAGTTGCTCACACGACTGAATTATCGACATTAGTTCCCACAGTTGAATCGACATCAGAAGACAAGACAGCTCCTAATAGAATGGATTTTTCTTCTAACACATTAGTGTAGAAAATACCGAAAACACAACAATAAATTTCATTAAAAAATATGACTACTATAGGTCACTCATTGTCCAATGAAATGAATACTTAATTCTTGTCTGATCATCATATTTTATTTCAAAATATTAGCCTAGCGTACTGAAAATATTATCTGCTCTTAGTTCATACGTATAATTATAATTAGCCTTCTGAATACTAATATTTTACTTGATTTATAGCATAAATATTTGTCTAAATTGTTCAGACAATGCATAAACTACCTACTTACTTGCTTAATTACGTCCTCAACCCCTCGTGGAACATAGGCCGCTGACCAGCATTCTCCAATCTATTCTGTTCAGGGCCTTCCTTTCTAGTTGTATCCAGTTTCTGTTATTTCTTTCTATTCTCTGCGTAGTGCGTTCTTTAGTCTTCCTCTTTCCATTTGGTCTTGAGGATTTCAAGTTGATGTTTGCTTTATGTGTCCTCTATCCACTTCCAGTGCTTTTTCCTAATTTCTTCCTCAGCTGGAATCCGACTTGTTCTCTCCCATAGTAGGTCGTTGCAGACGATGTCACATAAATTACTATGATATCATTTCTTTTTGATTGAGTCTACGGTTGTTTATTGATATAAAATATGGTATTAATTACACAGTGATGATTTATTATTCATCAAATGAGTTTTTTGCTTTAATGTCGAAACGTTTCTGTCCCTAGGTTTGACTTCCTTACACACTTTCCAGTTTAATTATAAGTGAAGACACTTAGTTTTTGAATAATTCTATCAAAACCAATTAAGTAATGAGTGTGTAAATTGCAAATATGTTCTCTATCATATACTATTAGTAACTTTATCACTAAAATTTGAATAGAAAGTTTTACTGACTTCGATTTAGTGGGACGTTAGATCCTCAGAACTCGCCTGATAAAGGTCCTAATTTTGGATTTTATGTTTTCGCGCATGGGCTGATCAATCGATCATGAGATTACATTTCCCACCGGGAAATCTTTGTCATTGGTCGATGTGTTGTTTTAGTACTCTATTTTTGTGGCTCTCCAAAGGACGTTTCTATGATGTATAAATAAACCCGATTTGTGTGTCTGAAAGACCTCATATTTTCTGAGTGCTTGTAGAATACACTTTCTACGTCTTGTCAAGACTTCTCCATCTATATTAGTTGGGCCTTTGGACGCTCGGATTAAAGTAGCCTATCGTATCACTGGATCATTTGTCTTCGCTATCGTTTACCGACTAAGGTGAACCCGTAATATTTTCAAGCATATCAATTGACGGAAATAACGCTATATAATGGATTCAATTTCTAATCATTAATTCGTCGATTTAAACTAGCCTCCGCCTTTTTTGATTTGAACAATTAAATTGTGTCATTAGCTATGCAAGTCGAATACATAAATTTGTATCTAGTAATTAGAAATATCTTCTCTTTTACCATGAATACTTTTACTATATTTACTATTGTGGAATTTACGCTGACAATGTCATTTCGCCATGCTGATGGACTGTGATGTTTGACTGACTGCATGAAGTGTGAATGAGTCAATAATGATAATAATACTAGTAGTAACAATGTATTGTTTAGTCAATGTCGCGCTCAACCATTTTTTTAAGTGTCGTAATAATAGTATTAGTAAATAATTATATTGTTTATTGATTACTTCCTCATGACTATTAGACTATTAGTATACTTCGAGATCAATGTATAAAATGTGAAAAAGCAGCTTATTCACTTATGGAACAACAAATCAAATCGACAACTGTTAATAATAATTCATCTGAAGAAATAATCGATGAACAACCACCAGCTAAACGAAGTAGACAACGTTTGTCAAGTAAAGAAAAATCTTCAGATATTATACAAACACCAATGAATCAATCTATTCCATATATTCCATTAGCTTTTATGCCTAATCAACCGTCAGTTGCTTCAGCCACTTTATGTACATTACGTTTTGATTTGTTGATGAGTTTGAATGAAGCAAAAATCGATCGATTATGTGTTCCTGATAGAATTCATCGGTTTGTTTGGTGCTTAGATGCATGTGTTCGTAATCGTCGAATTGATCAAAGACATGCCAGTGAATTAGCTTATCATTTGCAATTACAACGTCGCCGTTGGGCTAAAGAAACAGCCGATGAAAGTCATGAATCACATGAAGAAGAATCTGACGGAAACACCAATGGTGAACTATTTAAACGTGGGCATTCTGGTTCTTCTTCTTCTCGAAGTAAACATTCTAAAAGTGGGAAAATCAATCGTAAACAATCTCCTACAAATGCAGAAAAGCATTGCAATTCAGAAGATGTAGAAAAGATATCCGATGTAAACTTGTTAGAAAAGTAAGTGGAATTTAGAGAACAATTTTTTGATATATTGTTATTATGTTACACGTTGACCGTAATTTTTTCATACCCATCAGTAATTGGATAACATGTGTAAAGAAGCTAATGTCAATTTAACTATCAGGAAAAACCATTGAGAAAAGCTACGTTTGGTCCAACCATCCTGTCGAGTTTTTACATGAAGTCGACTGTTTTACTGAACTGTGTGTTGATAGGTACAAATTATTGTGATTGAGTTCCTCACGATTATCCCAATCGATGGTTAGACACATTGAGTGACATAGTTCAGAATAGTTTACAATTCATCAGGCTAATTTACTGTTCGCCTTAAAAAAATACATTTTCGTCTGCAAATTCATTCTTCTTGAATCAGATTGTCAATGTCTAATCTTTTCTACCACTGTTTTGCACTGTTATTAATTGTATTAATCAAGAAATTGGTTTTGATAATTTCATCTGGCCCCGTGCTTATCATTGAATGAGATTTTATAATGAAACTCTATAATAAGTCTGTAAGTCAATCAGTCAATTAGTTAGTTAGTCAATCGTGAAAAAAATACAAAAATGTATACTAGTTCAAGATATTACGCTTTACAGTAGCATACTGTTACCGGAAAGTAATTAGATTATCAATTAAAAATGGTTGAAGTTATTAGTAAGTTCAGGTTTAGTCATAATCTATAAAAAATAGAGAGTACAATTTGAGGAAAATAATCGATTCATAGGATATCAAGGAATAAGAATTGTGAAGTAATAATAGTAGTAATAATAATAACAAAGAATAAATGCAACCGATTTGATATATTATCCAATGTCTCTTCGAATATTCCATTACAACCATCATGCTAATCTCAAGCAGAAAAAACCTCTTGATTATTAAAATAAAGATATTCCAGCGAAGAAAATTTACCCTTCGACGATTATTCTTCGATGATATTCTTCTAGGACTCTAGGGGTTTCTTTCGATGTTTCAAAATCTACATATACCTGAAATTTCCAAATCGGCAGTCAATGATGCTTCATGGATGATCGGTATACTGTTGGTTTAACCTCCATCTTTAACCATTTTTCAGCCTACTGCTATGTTGAGTATCATATTACCTGTTCAAGTAACATGTTTGTCGGTTAGGCCTAACAACAGTTATTCATTTGCATACTATAGCAATAAAATTTTCAGATGTGTAAGTAAATGAACAAATACTCATCTTAAGTTTGAGGTGAAATATTCATTCGACCTACCGACTTGCTTACTTACGCCTGTTACCCCCAATGGAGCATAGGCCGCCCACCAGTTTTCTCCAGCCAACTATGTCCTGGGCTTCCCTTTCTAGTTCTTTCCAGTTTTTGTTCATTCGTCTTATGTCTTTCCGTATTTCTCAGCGTAATATGTTCTTTGGCCTTCCTCTTTTCCTTTGACCTTGAGGGTTCCATGTGAGGGCTTGTCTTGTGACACCTGTAGAACCTTCGGGGCTACTGCCGGTCCCAAGCCCGGATAAAGGAGGAGGGTTGGGCATGGGGTTGGCGACCCCATCCCACCAAAAAACTGACTTGCCAAAAAACGCTAACCAGGAAAAAATTAAAAATAAATCAAAACCTACCGACTACTCTCTATTAAATGTTAATAAACTTTCGTCCAAGTCAAACGATCGATTTATTAAGTTTGGTTGTATAATATGATCTTGGAATTGTGAATATTTATCTTTTCTATTATCACAAAAAGTATTGCATTAATCAAAGTTAGACTTCAGTTAAATGAATTGATTTGTTTTATCCTTTTTTTCTTCTATCTTTACATGCAGAGATATGCATATGGCTTGTCGAGATCCATGGGTTGTATACACTATTTGTACATCATTAATTCGTTATGTACTTAATGGACTTTATGAAGATAAATTGCCTCGTGTAAGTTTATTGGTTAATAAACTAAAATGGTATATATATATATATATGCTAACATATTTTGATATAGAATAGACAGATTGTAAGCGACTGTGGGATTCATGACACATGCTTCGTCCTATTTAGGGCTGCTTGTCAACTGAATGTATCTTTATCCCAGAGTTATCATTCACTCCACGATTTGAATATGATTTATGCATAGCTATTATCAAAGTAATCTACATACAGTTTAACCAAGATATTTTGTTCATATATGTGTGTATAGTTTAAGCATGATGTCAGGTCGAGGTCTATTTATGTTTAAGTATATAAATAAGTGTGATTCTGCAGTACATCGTAATCGGCTAAATTTGAACTTTCATTCGCGATGATAAATTGACAACAATAGTCAATTGTAAAATAGTCCAATGTAAAATAACATTTTCAAAATGGACTGTCCATGCAAAATACGCTTCAACCAGTAAGAATGTGACCAATTTGTCGATCTCATTGATTCAACGTGATACAAGAAAAAGGGAATAAATCCTGACTACTAATAAGTAATATAATCATAAAATGAAGAATTTCACACATGGCTTTCGTCACAAATTAGTGTAAACAAGTAAATAACTAGAAACCAATAGTATCAGTATGTGATCTTGGTTTTCTACGAATAGATTCCTTCACTATTGTTTCAGTGTTCCTTCATGCGATTGAATTATCTGGAGATTGATAACTTCTTTTTAGTGTAAAGATTTTGGTGGAAACGATTGAATTTTGTAGTTTGTATCACAAAATGAGAAAAAATATCCACATCAATGATGATAATTCTTTTTAATTTACTGAAAGTTATCTAAACTTTTTTGATCATTCGAACCAAAGACACTCATAGATTCGCATGGATTGAGAACTAAAGATCAACTTTCTAATAGGCCTACTTTGTCACAAAAGAAAATTCCTTGGAAATTTCAGCATCATAAATGATATTATGAAGATAACTTGGTAGATAGAAATAAGGTATACTAAAGACCTTGAGGTAGTCAATCCAAATTCGGATAACAACTCAGGTGTTTTGCGCGAAGTTTACAGTCTAGTGATAGATGCCTTGTATGTTATTGTTAACAAAGTAAAAACTGGAGTTATTTAAAACTTAAAATACACGAAATCAATAAACATATCTATTATGCAACCAAAAAGTGAATTGAAAATAGTGTTCAAGCTAAATTATCAAGCAAATCCGCTCTAAAAACAGATTATTTTTACAAGCACTTGATGTGATTCAATGTGTAGTCTCAAACGTGCTTAATGAAGCTAGATATTATTCTCCAACTCGAAATCTTACTTTATTTAAATCTTGACCTTGAGTTTCTTAAATCTGGGAACATAAAGTTGACAAAGCATTGGATCATTTGTAAACCCAACTAAGATCTCCAGTTTAATTCTTTACGCACTGTAGCTGGTGTCTGTTGATGACGAAAACCCTATAGAAAGGTAATCTTGAATTACAACACTAGTCCAACTACTAATATGTAAACTTAACCCTTTTGTTCACTACAAGGAATAATTCTACATGTGAAGGTTGATAATTCAGATTAAAGCTATTATTCCACTGTTATTTTATTGCTTTATGCTGCCAATCGTCTTTTAAGTTGTCAAGGTTCTCTGATGGCTAGTAAGTCGCTCAAAGTTGCCGGTACATTATAGTTTTGCCGAAATCACTAGTTGTACAATAATTTCTTCGTGCTGATAAACCCAGGGCTCACCACTTTATTAGTGCCTGTGGTTTAACTCGTCAATGATGTATGTAGACAAAATATGAATCCCACTTACTTCGTGTATGTTCTGTTAAAAAATCTTGTTAAATAACAACGTGTATAGTAAAAGATCACCTGCAAGTGTTTCGGATGTTTATAGTTCATACATTCATTTCACCAAGCGAACGCGGAGATGAGAAACGGAGAAGGCAGATATGCCTACTCAATGTGAAAGACAAAAGCAGCCATATAGACACATACATACTGTCATGCATACATGACAAAACCACTTGAGTAGAAAAATCAGTGTAGTTTGTCTGACCGATAATTAAGATAAGTTTCGTGTGTATCAAAATAGAGGCTGCTACACAGGGTTAAAGCTGTTCTAAGTAATCTTTCCTTTTATGACAAAACTATTGGTATCTTTCTTAAACCAATGACAATGAACACTACTAAGTGTACAAACTGCTCTTTTATCATATTTAAGACTTGTTTAAACCATTTTAAAGCCAGTGTTTCAAGGTAATTTTATTGGTTAACTAATAATTATTGGCATGCTTAAATAGACATTACTGAGCCTCAAATTAATTACACGACACCGTTATAAGAATACACCTAATTTTACAGAAGTATAATTGACGGAATACTGAAGTCCTTAACTCGTATAGGTTAGATTTCATCAATAAATAGTTTAAAACTAACTATGATGAAGAACTGTCTAACAGACCTTTACAATAAGGTCCCCATCATTGTGGTATTGTGTTTGTGCAATAGATGACCTTGATGATCGCTAATCACTGTACAGACACGTCAGCCTCTCAATTACCAGCCCCACGGAATAGAGAAAAAAAACAACGACTTATGAGTCAGACAGACAGATCAGATCAGATCGTTTTTTTATTATTTCAATCATGCCTTTATATACATGCAAAATCAGACTGCATCGTAAACCAACTAGAAAACTGACATCAATACAAAATAACAGTAATAGTGAGTGTGAACTGGGGTAACGCATAGCAGTCAATTAACTATAGTTCATAAATGAGAAATGATATAACAACAGTTAATGCCTCAAACAAGAGTATAGGATAAGAGCAACGTCACAATAATAGGAATAAAATGCTTACTTTGTATACAACCAAAAATAATGAATCTTAAGCAGAAAAAACAGTTCTAGAAGCTAGTCAATCTTCTTTAAGTGCCCGCCATAACACCTCCCCCTTTTTTTTTGAAAAGAAAAATAAACATCATCGGTAAGATTTATCATAGGGGTTCACTTTGATCCTGTTTGGTTTCCGTCGAATTCTTTGTGATTTCTTTAGAAATGATGCTGTTCTTGTCTCCACTGCTTTCGTTTTCTGATTGCTTCTGTCAGTCAAATCAAGTAACATGTTTAACGTCATCGGAGTACTCAGCTTAACTTCATTCCCGTCATCGCATCTGGACGGTCGGATGTGGTTTGCATGTCTTAGCCATTTCATATTGCTTACTCCGACCTCATAGATAACTCTTCCTCTGTTCCTTAGGATAATTCCAGGAACCCACTCCATTGTTTTACGATGAAAATCACGTACCCAAACCTTTTGTCCGGGTAAGAATCTTCTGGGCTTCGCTCCATGCTTCTTGTTGTATTGTATTTCCATTCTGGAATTACGTTCGATAGTCATTGCAAAATTTGGCTTCAAACTATCTAATAGCGTTCTGATTTTTCTTCTAAGCATAGCTTCCGCATGGGACACTTCACCGACCGTCTCACGATTCGGTGTTGAACGATAAGCAAACAGGAACTTATACAATATCTCTTCTAATCTTCCTTCCCCCTGGGCTTTGAGTAACGCTCTCTTAGAAGTGTCGACGAATCTCTCGACTTGCCCATTTGATTGTGGGTGATACGGAGGGGTTCTGATATGCTTAATGCTGTTAAGAGCACAAAACTTCTGGAATTCTGCAGACACGAATTGTGGGCCATTATCGGAGACAAGTACTTCTGGGACTCCGAAACAGCTGAATATTTGACGCAGTTTGTCTAGTGTAGCCATGGTTGATGTAGACCTCATACAATGTACTTCCGGCCACTTAGAAAAAGCATCGATGATAATTAAGTAGTGTTTGCCCTTTAGGGGACCAGCGAAGTCTACATGAACTCTAGACCATGGATGTGTCGCTGGTTTCCAGCAGCAAAGTTCGGTTTTTCTGGGGGCTTTCGCAGCTTGTGCACATTTTGAACATCTCAATACATAATTCATAACATCAGTATCAATGTTTGGCCAGTATACGTAACTGCGGGCCAATGCTTTCATTCGGACGACACCTGGATGTGCAGAATGTAATTGTGACAGGACTTTGTGGCGCAAAGATTTGGGAATAACTACACGGTCACCAAACATAAGACAATCATCAACAACAGCAAGGGCGTCTCGTCGATGAAAATATTGTCGTTCTGTTGCGTTGAGGTTTTGGGGCCAACCACACAAAAGATAGCGAATAATTGTCTGAAGCTCTTCATCCGTCCTAGTTGTAGATTTTACGTCCATTGCTGACAAAGGTGTAGCCTGAATAGAAGTTTGCAGTATGTGATGAATATCATCTTCCAGTGACACCGTAGCAATAATAACATCTTCGTTCTCAAACTTTTGAGTCGCAATTAATCTGGAGAGGACGTCAGCGTGACCAAAAGTCATTGTTGATTTATAGCGAATCTTAAAGACATAAGCTAACAACATAATTGCCCAACGCTGTAAACGATTGGCAGTATGTACTGGAATGCCGGACTTTGCCCCAAAAGTAGAGAGGAGAGGTTTGTGGTCTGTCAGCAACGTAAATGGTCGACCATAAATCATTTTATGAAACTTCTTTGTTGCAAAAATCAGTGCCAATCCTTCTTTTTCTACTTGACTGTATCTCCTCTCAGTAGCATTTAGAGATCTAGACGCATGAGCTATCGGTTTCTCTTTACCATCAGGGAAACGATGACTAATAACAGCACCAATACCGTAGTTAGAAACATCGGCAGCGACAACTATCTCTAATTTTGGATTATAGTGGGTTAGTAGTAAATCAGAGGATAAGATTTTCTTGATTTCTTCGAAGGAATTCTGGCATGCTTCTGACCAATTCCATGTTGCGTTCGCTTTTAGAAGTTGATTCAAGGGATGGCGTAACCTTTGCATAGATGGAACAAAAACACTATAATATCCAATCATACCTAAGAATGATCTTAAAGTCACCACATCGGTAGGTGCAGGCATTTGTGTGATAGCATGTATATTATCTGGATCTGGACGGCGCCCATGTTTATCAAATATAAATCCAAGGTATTTAACAGATTGAAGGAAAAATTCACATTTATGTTTCTGCAGTTGGAAACCAGATTGTGATATTCGTGTAAGTACTTTATCCAAACGCGATAATAACTCATCTTTAGAGGAACCCACAACAATAATATCATCAAGATAAGCGGCAACACCATCAAGATTTGATATCATAATGTCCATTAACTGTTGGAAAATAGCAGGCGCTGGCTTTACACCAAAAGGTAGTCTGTTGTACTGGTAAAGTCCACGATGAGTATTTATTGTTAGATAAGGCTTAGAATCATCATCAACTTCTACTTGTAAATAGGCATCAGATAAATCCAGTTTTGCAAAATAACGTCCACCATTTAGTTTAATGAATAGATCTCCGGGCAATGGCAATGGATATGAATGATTTTGCAGAGCATTATTTAATCCAGTAGAGAAATCAGCACATAGACGAACAGTACCGTTAGCTTTTTGAGCGACAACAATCGGAGCTGCCCATGATGAAAAAGTAATAGGTTGTATAACCCCAAGCTTTTCTAATCGGTCAAGTTCTTTATCAACTCTATCGATAGAGGCGTAGGGTACCTGCCGTTTTGGACGAAAAACTGGTGTAGCTCCTTGACGTAAATATAATTTGGCTTTACCAATATTGCAACATCCCAAAATATCTTGAAATACATTTGAATGCTTTTCAAAAAGATGAGCTGTAGTCAAGACGTTGTTGTTTGATGTAACATTTAATACAGGTAGATTTTTAGGAATATGTGGATCTTTCAATGTACACACTGCGTCTAGTGGCACCTTCCAAAGATTTAATTTGTCAATCCAATCAATACCAATAAGATCTAAATCATGTCTGTTTGTTAAATAACAAGTTCCAGTAAAAGAATGTACTCCGAATTTAACAGCACAATTTATCATCCCAACGAGTTTTAGAATATCTCCAGATGCATTACGCGCTGTATGTTCAGTAGGCAGTGATGGGGGGCAACCCATCAATTCCCAAGTTTTCTTAGAAATAAGTGTGATATCAGATGCTGTATCCAACTGCAAACGAATCTGAACATCATTAACTAATAGATCTACATATCTTCTTTTGTCAGCAAGATTACACGTGAATGTCGAATATATACTTCGTATGGAACTCTTATGATTCCGGGGAAACATTATGCGTCGTCCAGATTTCAAATAATTCTGTTGTCGGCAGACTGTTTCTTTATGACCAACTTTATAGCAAATGTTGCACTTATGACGTTTATAACGGCAAAATCTCGCGAAATGCCAAGATCCACAAAACCAGCACTTCGAAGACGGTTTGAATAATTTAGTTTGACGTTGATCATTCATTGGAACACTCTTACTTTTGTTGGATTTGACAGCATGGATATTGCAATTTAGTGAAGCATTACCTTTGGTCTCTACAAGCTTCGTATCATTTTTGAGGTTGATCAGTCGTTGACATTCTGACGTTACCATCTGTAGTGTCATGTCGTCGTTTTGCTCAATGAGTGATAGCAATCTTGTTCGAACATCAGCATCTGCTGGTGACTGGAGTCCAGAAACAAATAATAAGCATTTAAACTGATCATTTGACAATGCGTTTTAAAACGTTCGGCTTGCAGATTAATTCTGCTTGCGTAAGACAAATAATCCTCATCTGCATTGACCTTTACAATAAGGTCCCCATCATTGTGGTATCAACAACAACTCATATTAATCATGCTGAGTTTAACTACACAAAAATTGACCTCACCCTATCGTGAAACCGTTAACATTCATCCAACTATACCCAGGTTTTTCAACCATTTTTTTTCAATCATTCATCACCAAAGAATGCAAAAACACCAGTCTTTTACTTTAGGAGTTCCAAATTATTCCTCAAAAATGTCTGTAGAAGTGCAAAAACACTAAGAAAAGTATTATCCAATTAGTGTTGAATCGAAGCTTCTTATAAACATCTAAGAGATAAATAGTCACTTGTCACATTTCCGACTGGATATTTATCTATATTTTTGCTATATTTATAATGGATCCTGTATAATTTCGTACACAAACTAACCATAGAGTAAAGCTGTCACTCGAAATGCACGCCTTCTCTCTAATGTTCTAGATGATGTGTAGAAGTAGTTGGAGTTATAGAAAACAACTAAGAAAACAATTAATCTGCATTTGTAGCTTTCAATCTTTTAAAAATTACTGCATTAACAAATAAATAATGCGACGTACACAACCAATGACAGGAAGATAGCTTAGATTATAGGAGCTGTTACATAAAAACAATGGAAGTAATTTTTTTTTACAAAAATACCTATTCAATCAAACAATACAGTTTATTGACTGTTAATTTTCAATCTTTAAGATACCTTGTGTTTGGTGATATCTGCATGACGTTAAATATCGGTGGTTGAAGAAATTATATAATGAATGCTTGAAACTTGAATATCATATTATCAAATTTTACTTATAGAGTTCTACCTCTTTTATATAATTTACTTCTGTATTATTTAATGATATGATAATAATGTAAATATGGTAAATTCTATGCATAAAATTTAGCTTTTACTTATCTATTAAACTCTTACTATGATCCATTATTAAAATGAAATCTTCTCACTCGATTTGATTGTTTTAAACAAATCTTCCACAGGATATACCAGAAGTACACTTACTTGTACATTTATTAGTACTTGGCTTAGGCGATGATTTAATTCCGAATTCTTGTTTACAATTAAAAACTAAAGAAAATTTTGGATCTAAACGTTCTGCTACTTCTACTTCTACTTCTACTACATCGTCATCATCATCCTTGTTATCAGATAATGAAGAGTCTATATTGAATTGTCCATCAAAAGCATTAATTAGTTATATTCTACCAGCTATTGCACAATTACAAGTATTAACATGGAGAGCACAAGTAGCTGAAGAAATTTTAACATCAAGTAATAATTTATGGCCTAGTACAAATTTAGAAAATACTACTGCAAGTAATAATAATAATAATAATAGTAATAACAGTACTAGTGGATCAACAATATCTAATAATAATCAGGCAAATCAACGATCAACATTGCATGAATCCAGAGAATCCACTAATTCATCATCATCCTCATTGCCAACATCACCACCATTGGTTTGGCAAAAACGTATTAAAGGTAAATTAAAAAAAATGATAAAAATTAGTTTATTATTTGTGTGTGTGTTATTTTTATCTCTTAAAAAGATAAACAAACAAATCTTTTAAGTTAATAAACAAGTGTAAAGTATTTTAATGTAAACAAACTTGCCAGTGATTAAATCATTCAACGTTCAATCATCAGGTTATAAGCTTTAATTAGACAATTCAACTATAGACATTTGAGCATTCAAATAGTATTGTTAACTTTGAAACTGTTAGGGATGTTAGATCCCTGGAAATCGCTAGGTAAATCTCCAAATTTTGTAATTTATTTTTCGGAATTTGAATTTCTCGTTTTCGCGCCAACAGTTCTAACCAACTACTGTCCGTACTTCTCATGTCTGTCTCCAATTCTCGGCGTAATGTGTTCTTTCATCTTCTTCTTTTTCCTTGGCCTTAAGGATTCCAACTGAGGGCTTGTCTCGTGACGCAGTTGGGTGGTTTCCTTAATTGTATTTTGTGCTTCCTTTGAGATGTTGACATCTTTATAATTTAGCTAACCACAAGAATAAAGAGAAGTGGTGGGAGTAAGAAGCCTTGTCTGACTCCGGTCTTCACTTGAAATGAGTCTGTGAGAGAGCCACCTTATGCACTATTTTGCACTATTTTAATCTATCATAAGAATTCCGTTTGATGACTATTTTTTCACCGGCACGCCGTAGTATCAATAAGCTAGATAATATTTCTTCAAATTCTAATAATCTATTGTATATTATCCAAGATTTTCATCAATTAAATAACTTCCACGATTAATTTCATCGCTTCAAATCATTACCATTGTTCAATGTTTGTTTTTTTTTTCCAAAAAAAATTTATAGATGCTACTCAATGTGTCAATATCACTGTTCCATCAGGTTATTTAGCTCATCCAATTGGTTATTTAATGTTACAATATCATTGTTTATTTTGTTTAGAACGTAATGAATTAGCTACATTACGTGCATTATTAAAATTAGCTGTAACACTTGCACAATCTCGTACAAATCGTCCTAGTCATCATCATCCTAATAAATCAACAGCTATATCGCCTCAACCAGTGACACCAACAAAAATGCCAAATTCTGATTTATTCATTAATCATAAATTCGGTCTATCTGTTGTTTTCCGTTGGCGTCCAGAAGTTTTACAAGTAAGTTTTGTAAATTTAAGAGTTGAAATGAAATTTTAGGGACAAAATATGCACATGCAATCTTTAAACATTTATTTGCGAGACAAGCAAATTCTTCACTGTCTTCTCTAATATCTCTTCTCTAGTCTTCAATACACTCTAATAGCTCCATGCGTTTTTAAACACCAGACACTTTTCGAAGTGACGACCAGTTGCATACTGCTTATATTCCACCTTGTGATTTGTACCCATCACACTTGGATTACAATATAATTCGACTGTTACACGTGTATCCATACATGTGTGTACATGTTCTTAATTAGTGAGAAAATATAAAGCATGACATTTTTGCCAACTCTTAATAAAATTTGTCTAACTTGATTGTATCAGGTGATTGTCAGTTTGCACGCTAAGTGGCTTGTACATTGCAGTTTATAATCAATCGATTAAACCAACACAAATTTAAATTTTATCGTGAACGAAAGAGATGCTTGAAAAGATAGATATGTTTTTGTTCGAAGTTCAGTCTTATGCATTAGGTAAATATTGAATTTCAATGGGATCATGAATCGATCAATGTTAGACTACCATCATAAAAACCTGAAAGTGCGCTGGACCAGTGGAGTTCAACCTAATTGGATGTTTGGTAAGTACACACCGAAGACAATTGGTAAGGTCGCGCAATATTGTGGATTGATTGAAGTTAGACATTAGCACCGTTGGATTCCGACTCTGTTGTCTAGAGTTTAAGCGTTCGTGCGCGAGACCGAAGATCCCGGATTGGTTTCTGCGTATGTGGATCATGAATGCTCACTGCTGATAAGCCGCTTACTAGGACAAAACGGTCATCCAGTGCTTCCAATTTTCTAACATTGGTCGATTTTAATGAAACTCAACAACCTCCACAATCCTATAATGCAAAATATTGAATTAGTTAGCATTATTTTTCTAAACCACTAATTATTGACGCTAAAATTGTAAAAATGTTTTGATGTGTAGTTAAGCTCTTTCAATGTCGGTAAAAGTATAAAATACTGATGACCTTAAGTGAACCAATGATATTTAAGATAGCACTTCACGTATCTTACGCGAAACTTAAAGCTTTGCGACAAATGGCTTGTGTGTTGCTGTTAATGAGGTAAGAATTGGCAATTCATGTTGCTTAAAATGCTTCAAATCAATGACAATTTCAACTATGAAACTGAAAAATGTGTTTAAAATTATGTTTACGCCGAATTGAAGATAGTGATCTCAAGGCAAAGTCGTATGATAAAGTACTTGTTATGATTCGCTGCGTTTTCAAGACTGTTTTATTAGGCTGGATTATTATGTCCTCTCCCCCCAATTCTTATTCCAAATCTCAACTGTAAATCTCTTAATTTTGTAAACAGAGCATTGCATCATAGTTAATGTCAGTCCGTAATGAAACCTAAAACCCCAATTTTAACTAACCGAACTCAGAACTGTTTCTTAACTCCCAATAACTAACCTTGAACTTTTAACGTTATAGCTGATGTCAGTTGGAAACGACAGCTCTAAAAATTGATAGCCCTGACTTTATCACACTAGCTGGACTCCTAATACGTAATCCTAACCTTTTTTTCTCTCATTACAAGGAATAATTCAACGTATGAATGTTAATTATTCAAATAAAAGCTATTCTGTCACCATTATTTCATTGCTTTATGCTGTTTCTTTTATGACTATGCAGTGTTTCCTGATTGGTCGATAGGCCACTCAAGGTCGGCAGTGTATTAGACTTTTACAGAAATGTAAATTATTATTTTTTCTTTATATTACTATAAACTAACATGAATTGTTTTTCTATTCTATTTGTTTTTAGGCTTTAGTTTTAGGAATTTCACGTTTACCACAATCTGCACCGGCTTTTGTCAATATTAATCGAAATACACATGTTACAGAAGGTTCTGTTGAATTGTCTTTAAATGACAACACTAACCAATCAGATTCTGATAATAATTCGTCGAATACATCATCATTAATTCGTAATAATTCAATGATATCAAATGTGATTTCTAACAATGAATTAGGAAATAATATAATGAATTCTACCAGTCAAAATATTAATTCAGAATCACATTCTAATACAACCGGTTCAATTGTTACTCGTGCTAATCTAGCTGGTCTACTTAGATCTAGTTTACCTTTAATTAATGATGTACAATTATTAGCTCTTGCACAAGTTGCATTACTTGTACCTGGACCAACTACTACTACTACTAACAGTAGTAGCAGTGGTAGTAGTAGTAGTAGTGGTACTAATTTAGGAACTGGCAGTAACAGTAGCAATGTATCATCTATGCATTGTTCATCATCTAACAATCATAATAATACTAATAATACTACAGATATTGGCAGTATCAATGAACCTGTTTCACCTGCACCTATATTAAGTGAACGTGAAAGACTTGTCAATACATTGGCTAGACATTGTAATATTACATCGATTAGTGGTGGTGGTGGCAATACTGCTGCTGCCATATCATCATCATCATCAACTGTGGATTCTAATTTATTATTTGAATCAAGTACACAACAATCCAGTAGTGGTAGTACAGTAGTCGGTTCAAGTGGAACTTATAAATCATCAAATCCACGTGTTTTAGCTGCTTTAGATGTTCTTCGTAAAGATATTGAAAAATGTCATGTGAGTTGTTGTTGTGGTTGTTATTTCACTTTTAAATTTCTTCACTATATATATCATACCATACAATTGATTATTAGATAGAGATGTTAACGTGTTTAATGATATTGTACACTTTTACGATTCGGCGCACTACTTATGCCTAAACAGCACTTGCTCTGACGTAATATAGCAGATAACGTGGAAGTGTAGTTTTAAAAAAAAAGTTAGAACGTTGATTGATACTTAATGAAATCTTGGCATAGATTCAAAATATGCGCTATACTTCTTGCCAATTTTGTGTTACATGTATAATTAAAAGATTGCTTGTTTGTCAGCCAATTTTTGAACAAAGTATATGAAAATCTGTTTTACTAGATGAATGCGAAAAGTGACTGGTAGAAGTATAGGACATTTAGTTTTTGACAATAGATGTCTTACATTTAGTAGAAATGCTGAGTAAATAATGTTAATGGTCGATATTGGGCAAATATAGGAAATTGGTTGACTGAAGTGAATAGGATTTGCATTGCATATGCTCAACTATTGATTACCTTGATTTCTGAATATTTGCTGGGATAGGAGTATGGCGCCCAAACTAAACTAGTTATGAAATATTTAACCGTTAGTCTAAAATTGTGTTGTTACATTCAGACTACCTGGTGGGGGTGCTCACAATTAGTAGTTTTCGATGATGGGCAATATGATTCAAAATAGTTCTCAATGGAATAGATCCATTCACTTTTTGTCTACCTTAAGATCCTGGTTTTTATCAACTGCTTTCAATTACATCCTTGACGCGGAAATGAGAGTGCTGTTTTTGTTAAGGAGTCCCGTACTAGAACAACTCTCTCTCTAATCAATACCCTAAGCGAGATTAATCTGTGAGAAATACAACCTACCTATCAAATCACTTACTGCCCACAAAACCCATTCATTTACAACCAAAGTTAATTTACCGATAAGGTTGATCTGTATAACTCTAAACTAAAGTTTCATTTTTTTTAAGTTCTAAAGTTCTAGTTAAAACGTAACGAGCAAACTCCATCGTGTTACTTGGGAATATTTTTTAAAATCTAAATAAACCTTGATAACTATTTGTTATCAGTATCCAACCTATATCAAGTAGGTTTTCCTACGAATGATAACGTATTAGTAAAACTATGTTTCAAGCTTATGAAAATTACAGAGAACTTTCATATTTATGTTGTATGTCTGCAGAGAACTATTGCTTAAAGCATTTAACAGTCACACTAAACTAGATAGAATGTTATAACGGAAGAAGCTGAGGTTATTCGCCATGTTTTCAATGTTCACGTAAATTTTGATACTTAGAACGTCCAGCTCTTGTTCTCTTCATCTTTGGACAAATGTTGCATATTGAAGTGTAATTCTCACTGATGATTTTATTACTACAGTTTGGAATTGTCGGCAACTGTATTATGTAAATGTATCCGGAGCCAAACATGCAGAAGAATAAACACAATTGTATTGAAAGTTAGGATTTGGAATGCAGAGCGGTTAAGCTGTTCTAACGTGGACGGTTTCTATTTATGAATTCAGTTACAACAGCTAATACTCAATAATTCTAGTTAACCGCTAACATAAGAAGGTAAACTTTAAGAAAAGCTTGATTTTCATGTTGAACAGCTCGAAATAATACAACTCACTATGTAAAGTAACGAAAGCATGAACTTAAGCGGAAGATTAGTTAACTGAACGTGGCGATAACTAGTCAGCAGGGACAAAGTTCATATCAAAAAATTAAACTAGGAGAAACGCAATTGCGTGTTCCGTTACTGGTATGACTGTAGCATTTTTGAAAAAAATTAAGTAATCCCATGATTTTGCATTCTTATCACATCCTTACATCATTCGTATGCTTCTTCGCTTAAATGGTTCATTTTCTTTTTGTTGTTCATAGAATTCACTTGCATCACCGTTAACACCGACAAATTTAGTTGGCATAAAAACTGGATCTAGTGGTTATAGTTCATCATCATCATCAGCAAATCTTGTAACAAATTTTACTGGTTTTCAAATGCCAGATTTATGGGTTGCTCCATCACCTCGTAGTCCTATATCAAGTAATAAATATTCACGTTTTGGTGTAGACTCATTACAATCATCGAGTGGTAGCGGTAGTTGTAGTAGTAATAGTAGTAGTATCAATAGTAGTACATCACTAACTGGTTCCAACTTATCATCATCATCATCATCATGTTACTCATCATCGTATGGTTTGCATTTGCCTATTGGAACACCTCTTACTAATCCAGGTTTAATGGGATCTACAACACCTCATTTAAGTAATCTACATATTGGACAAGGTCAAATGCCAAGTCTACGTAAACCATCAGCGCCTACTACTTCGACTGGTCAATTATCATCATCATCAAGTGAATTCCGTACGCCTCTATCGCCTAATCCTATTCATCATCATCATCAAAGGAATAAGTTTGGCCCTGATACATTTTATGCTTCATGTCCATCTCCGGCTGTACATCGATCGGGAGCTTCTCATGATAATAGTAATAATATGATTATTCCTAGATCTCCTTCACCACCAGCGTAATATTTTATGAGGACAATTTTTCCCCCTTAGCAGCTGTGTGTTCGCGCGTAAAGTTTTTTTTTTTGCAAATTCAAATTACTAACTAAACTTTGTATACAGCAGACAACGTATGATATGTGTATATATAGACTGTTGAACAGTTTTATTTCATTCAGTATTTTATATAATGTATATATATCTTTTTTCTGAAAGAAGAATAATATTCAATTTCAATGTATTATGAATAATCCTAATGCAGATTGTGTTTGAAACGTTAATATTGCCTGTTGAAGGTATTTGTTGAGTCCCTTAGGATCTCTCATGTATTATGAATCGACTGGAATAGAAAAGTTAATCGTTTGTATGTGATATGCGTACGTAATTGGGGACTATGATTTTTATGGAGGACCTAGAGACGATTTATTTGTTGACAATGAATGATAAAGTTATAATCATTAGGCTGTCGTTCAAACACTCCATTCCATCGACTTTATGGCTAATTTTCGCAATTGTAGTATTGAATCGATATGTCTAACAATAAAATATCTTCTCCTTTATAAAATATGTGAATTCATATGGACAAGTGTTAGTACAAGACTTGCCTTCATTTTAGTCCCGACAAACTTGTTATAACGGGAATTTCGGAATATTTTCCTCCCTCACAATAATATGATAAAATGATACTAGTCTGGATGACCGAGTTTATACTGCCACTGAATTAGATACTCGAACTGTAAGCAACACAGAGACTTGTTATATCAGATGCCTGATTCACAGGCAAAAATAGAGAACCAGAGTAACTGATAGACAATTACAAACAATCACAGTCAGTGATTCCAGAATAGAAATCATCAAGAAGGGATGTAATCACGTACTTAATTAATCAGTAGGTTGTGTCTGTTAGTCCATACTCAGTGATCAATCACATTTTATTTTTGCTACAACCCATAAAAACCTTAGTAAGTTTATTAATAATAAAGAAATGATGTATACGTTCTTCTGAAGGTAAATTATTCATTTGTTTCACTTGCGTCATTCATGGCATAGGCTGACTGAAGGACGAGTCTACTGCACAGCAGTCCACTCCTTCTTAATATATGGGTGTGGAACATAGCCAGTCAGAGTAGATATTCGTAAGTTGCTGGTTTTTGATCATAGAAGCAATGCTATCGATAGGAAACGTGGCAGATCCATAGCTAAAGTTGTGAAACTTTATCAGGTGAGGTGGTTGGGACATGTTTTGCGTATGCCTAACCACCGACTACCTCATCGAGCTATGTGGTGTAGGATTAGGTGAGAAGCTAGGAGCGGCCAAATCATGACTGAGTCATGGCTCAAAGTCGTTTGCACTAGCTCACGTGCTTCCATTTTTTGTGTTCTCTCAAATCGTAACCTGAATTCCTCATCACCTTTATTGTTTTCCTTTTGAGTTAATTCCACTAGATTCTACTTCTTGAATGATGTCGTCGAACCCCAATCCTGCGTTACTGCTAATACTTCTACTACTATGGGATTTGAATTGACAATTGCATCTCTGTGCTAATGTGGTATGGCAACCTGAACGTATGTACGTACGCACGAAATTCTACGTTGTAACTGAACGACTGACTGCATTCAGACTAACTAATAAGTGAAATTTGGCAGTGTCATTTTTTAGTGTCTAAAGTTTATCAGTACTGCATAGTTACATCATTTTAATTTTGAGAAGAGACTGTAGTTGTACAAAATTCAAAACATCAATCCATAATGGGAAGGATACCAGATTTGATTGGTGTATGGAATGTATGCGCTTTCTCGTTGGTGATTGACTAACGTGGTGCTATATGTCAACAGGTATGATTAAGGTACTAGGTTTTTGGTACGACAAACTCTATTTTTGAATACGATTCAACGAAAGGGAACTCGTATAGATTTTACGTGTTATAAAACGATACTTCAACGTTGGTAATTCACATGCTATTAGAGAAGATGTGACTTTCAAGATCACATGATATTCCATAAACAAACCAAAAATTGGGAATAAATAACTCTTCTAATAGGAAGTTGAAATGACTATGGGTCGTAGATTAATTGATGACAACCAATCAGTTGACAACAGGCTTTGTTGCGGAAATAAGAATTAGGTTATCCAGTAAAAGTATGCTTCAGGGACGAGTCCATCATAATCGAGAACTCGACATTCAATCGTCTGCGCAAAATTCAAATATGTATGACTTGCCGTAAAATCAGTGATCTATGCTGCTGAAATTACTGAATTATACCTGAAAACTATCTTTCGCTACAATGCAGTAAAAATGAGAGTTTGAGACGTACGAAGTGCTCAGTTGTTTCTTTAGAACGTGTATAACAAGTAACCTCTACTCACATTGTATGCTTGACTCTACATTACTGAATAATTCCGAATTGCCATCCAGCTAAGTTGACTTTTATGGGTATAATCCATAGTAAATCTTAAGGTGGGGTAGATTGGAGGTAGTCGATGCAAAACTCTGCTTGACTTAGACTTCATGTTACCTGTTACTGACAAGTTCGCTGTACATGTAGTCCGCATAAATGTAGCAAATAATTTGTTTAATCATTATGCAATCAGAAGATAATTTATTAGTAGGAATATTATTATATTTTAATCAGTTGATTATATTTCAAATGAAGCATCAGTAAAAACACATTATTACCACAAGGAAATATACTACTAACTAGTAATAAGTAGCATCGTTAAAAAATAAAGTTATTTCTTCGAAAGTACTCAATCTATAAAAGAAAACATTCTATCGTTTTAACAGAAATTTATATAAATTATATTTCAAGCCATTTTACATCATTAAGTTCTACATCGAATTTTAATTTCATAGAATATTGTATGAAATGAGTATTTTCTTGGTACATTTAATTTTTCTAAAAAAAAACATTATCTTCATCCTTATTCATTTAAAGCATATACTAATCTTTTCAATATCTCTTCTCATTAATCATCTAATTGACATAAAGCAGCTACACCACGATTAATCCAATGTTCTTGTGGTTGATTTGTTTTCATATCAACATATAATACGAAATTTGTTGAATGTCCTGTTGTGGATAGAACACCTCGTCGAGCAGATGTTTTGTAGACTGGACAAGTATAAGTTGATTCACGACTGATTTCATTCAACTTTTTTGGAATAAGCCAAATCTAAGGTATTTGTGTGTGTGTGTGTGTGTGTGAATAAAACAAGAAGAAAGTTTTATATACCATAATTTTTAATTTTTCATTAAATTTGAATAGCTAATTATTTCACCTTGAAATCATGAATGAATCATTGTTAGAGACTATGGAAGTACTGGATGGCCTTAGCGTCTAGGATTAGGACTCATCTGCAGTACGTATCCACGACACCAGCTACTAGCAGGATTCGAACCCAGGACCTTCATTTTCGCGCGCGAATGACTGACCTCTGACAACTGAGCCGTAACGGTTACATACGTCTTTATATTTATACATACTTAAAGCCTTGAATAAATTAATATATAATTGAATAAAGTAGATCATTCTTCTTGAGATAGATATCATTTATTGTGTCATTTATGAAGGGGTCAGTTACTTTTAATTAAATACCTGAAAGAAGTTAAATGATAAGCTTCAAGATTATTATTAGAGGAAATTTTGATAACTGAATATGAGTTAAGTTTATTATTGATGATAGTACGTTGTTTGTAAGCTGTTTGATTCAATTTGATATCTTTTTTGATATCTTCATCATCATCAATATCAGTACCTAATTCCAGGATCTACATAAATGGCATATTTTCTCTTACAGTTCTACTAAACCGTAAAAACTAATTAAATTTTTCAATGTTCGAAGATTTTATGTATTTGAAATTAAACCATTGACGTGCTTTGTATGCTAGATACTACATATCAATAAGTTGTGTCTACAGTCTCTAGTGAACCGATGCTCTTCATATAGAGCTTGCACACACAGATCATCATCAGTCAAGTTACTAGTAAGTTGTTAGTAATGAGACGGTAGCGCAAATCGATTATTGAGACGAAACTCATTTTATTATTTTAAGTTCTAACTAATTTCATATTTAAATAACTGGTTGAAAAGATCATATATAATAATACATCACAGTGAACAAAAGTTCTTTCCCGAATTTCTTAAGCTTTTAACTTTTAATGTATCATGGTATCTATACTTTTCTCCTGTTGTGTTGTAAATACTGTAAATATCTTTTTGTTATAATACTGTTCGTTAGTTTAAGTGTTGATTTGTTTTGAACGAAAAATTTATAATATTTCATTAACTAAGTGAATAATTTTTTTAAAAGTTCAGAATAACAACTGCTAGAATTCAATTGCTGAAGTATTCAAATATCTTTTGTATAAAAGGGTTGTGTACATTGTAAAGCTACTTTTTGTAAGATAATGAGTCGATCATCGTTAGACCACCTTTAGAAACCTGGGAGCACAGGACAGCCGTCTCTTCCTGGTATGGGACTCATCCACGACACCTGCCGCTCGCAAGATTTAAACCTCAGCCTTTCTGTCCTACGTGAGGACGCCTAATCTCTGGTCCGCTGAGTTGGCACCAATCTATGTTAATGTCTAACTTCGATCGATCCACGTTCTTGCTCAGCCTGTATTTAAAAATATCAGCTTGTGAAAACACTCTAACTATTGATTTAGTTGAATGGTTTTCTGAATATCATTCACTTATTCAGTATGGATTATATATATATATATATATATTACTTACAACTGGCATTGTATCAAATAATATTTTCGGTTTTGATTCACTTAAACAATCATCCAGTAAATCCCAACGTGCACCTTCCAAGTATAAACCTGTAATAAAAGCACCATCATTTGGTTTCATAAAATCACCAAATTGTCCAATTGGTCTTTTGGGTTTATCCAAATTACTATTGCTACTATTGTTATTGTTAACAGCTGCTGATGCACGCCTATTGCCTCCAATACATGATGATTGTCGTGAAAATTTCGGTATAGACGAGACATTTTCTAATAGACTAATAATATTCAAATGTTTCGATGTAATATGAAATGCAAAACCAAGTGTATCAATTGGTATTGTATATTTTCTTGCATAATTTTGTAATACACCAGTTAGAAAAGATTGTGTAAAATAGAAACCTGATATCCAAAACACCGGTGGTGTATCATGGGTTAACCAATCAGCGAAAAATTTCAATCTATGTTAATGGAGAATAATAAATAAGACAAAATTCAAATTAAAGAGCGACAAAAAAGAAAGAAATCGAACTAGAAAGCATAGAATAATAATAGTAATAATAATAATTTTGTGAATGAATAGTTTATACCATGGTTAGTAGACATGAGTAAATGAAGTGAATGTGACATATCTTGCACTTTAAGTGAATAAACTACTGACTACTTAGTTCGTAAACTAAGAAACAAGCTGTACTTCAAGTGTTTGGTAATCGACAGAAAGAGCAAAGATATTTTATAAGCAACCTTGAAATTCTAAAAGTTACAGTTAGTGACCGATTCAGTCATTGTTCAACTAGAATATGAAAATAAAATGATAACTTGGTTGAGAACATAAAATTTTCTAATACCTCGGTTATGCTTAACAATTGATATGCTTGAGCTCTTATGAGTTCATCTTAGTCAGTAAGCGAGAGATAAAACAAATGATTCATTGACATGATAGGCTACTCTAATCCGAGCGTCCCAAGACTCCACTAACGGTATCGAAACGTCTTGATATGGCGTAGAGAGTGTATTCTACCAGCACTTGGAAAATATGAGGTCTTGTACAGAAGAAGAAGAAGAGGAGCATAAAACTTGATAATGATTATTTATACAGTTAGGTCGACCGTGAATACTAACCAATAGGAAACAACATTTAAAAGTATGTGAACTTGATTTTTTAGGAATCGACCAATATAATTAGATTCAAAAAATAATTTCTCAAGGATATTTAATGAATATCCTAACAACCTCAAAATATCTACTTCGATTTCCAAGCATCCAAGTCACATTCACGTACTTTTGAAATCAATTTGTCTTTTGAAAATTCAATTATTTACCATTTTCGTAATTTACTATCCATATACATAGTGATATACCTACCTAGTTGTAATGGTTGAATGCATAATTATAAGTATTAGCTTACATTTGCACTACGAGATATTCTTCTAAATATTAATGCATGAATATAAGTGATAAAGGATATTGTAACTTAAATTTTTAATCGGTAATTTAAAAATCGTAACATTGAAGACTATATAGATCAATACATTCAAAACGTTCATGAATTGATGTCAAGCCTCAGTTATTGAGTCATTTAGCTTTTGAACAGTGTTAAGCAACTCAGACTATATGTGCCTGTTCTGTAATTTGTTACTGCAGTAATAAATATTCCTATTGTTTTCATAGGTATTTGTGAGTTTCAATTCTTGCTTATATACCTTGTCTTGATATGTCTATTCTTGTCACTCATTATGTTGTTCAGCGTATTTATCACTCTATGTAAAATCTATTTTGAATTATATTAACGCCTGTATAGTGTTGGCACAATTGCGCTTCACGACCTGCATCTCTCACTGTCGATCTGAGACAGTGAATACACGAAATATATGTATTCGAAATTCATTTCCTAAGCGATTTACTCCTTTATAGGCTACTGTTATTTAAGTCCATAATTGTATACGATGGGTAGGCAGCATGAACGATTGGAAGGGAGTCAGATCTCTGGTCACTAAAATGTGAAGATCAGTGGGTCTATAGATCCACTTTGCATAAGTTGGAAATGAGCAGTTAGAGTAGTGATTATTTTTATGGAAATGATTAATACTGAAGTATTTGGTTATAAACACAAAGACCAAATCTCGATAAGGATTCATTTTAATTCTTAATAAACCAGCTCAGTGAATATGCATGAATAAATTTAAACATCATACTATAAGTTTTTGTTCTTCTCCTCCTGCTTATCAAATGAAAAAAAACATTGAATATTGAACGGTTCAAAAAAAACAAACAAACACAAATAAACATGAGTAAATAAATTAAGATTACCTATATAATAAATCTTGTATATAACTTCCTAAAGATTTCAATGATGGATATGATTTAGCTGCCCAAACACTTGGTAATTTTCCAACTAACATTGAATTGAATACATCCTCTAAATCAGCTGACATAACAACTAAACCTTTAATAGCTTTTTGTAAATCTATTAATGTTGAACGTATAACACTAGTTAAACGATTGAATCGTATTAATTCTTGTCTAAGTACAGTATTCATTGATTCTTCATATCTGACAGGATAATTCTCAATTACCTAACAGTATGATACACATAAAAGAAATGCAAATATGTAATTAATTACATAAGAAGATTTAATGCTATTATTGGATATTAAAATTTATCTATTTACTTATTAAATGCATGTATGAAGTTTTGTACAAAGATGAATAGTGTGTATACAGACTGTAGAGTCTCAATATCAAGAATTTTAAAGAGGATTGATTATCTTAGGACTACTTTGCTTCATGATCTCTATTAAAGACCCGTTAGATAATATCAGTACAGCGGTACTAATGCAGAGATCCATAGGTCCAAAGGATGCGAAAAAGAATAATGCGAACTTCAAAAGGATCTTGTAACAAGAGAGTGATGGACAAGAGACAACCAATCAACCAAGATGTTGTATGATGAGCTTTTAGCCCCATAAGACAAACAAAACTTACGTATTCTCGGAAATGTCGTATCAGAGCGCTAAATCTAGCTAGTACTTACAGAGAGTTTGGACATCAGCTCAAGCTTCATAAGTGATGCTAGGAGGGCAGTTGTGACGTCTCAATTTATGAGAAGATAAGTTAGTGGAATCGCCCTAGAGTTGTCCATGGGCGTCACAATGAATTCCAAATGATGTTACACTCTCTCCTGCTTCAAAAAGACCTAAATCTTTTAAACCAAGTACGGAGAACGGCAACTAAGTGAGCAATAGGACTAAATCATAAGTCTCTCAAAGATAGAGTGTGTGTGAAGTTACCTGATCTATAGAATCTCACTAAAACCTCCTCATCACGCCCTTAAACGTTGACTCTTAGAGGATCGCATCTCAAGCGGCAAAATATGATATGCGCTCTCACTTTTTCCTTGAATAGTTGATAGTACTTAGTGGTATCCTCCTTGGAGTAGCACTCACTGAGATGCCAATAAACATTAATGAACATCAGATAGTTGTTTTGTTTTTGAACGAAACTCTGTTTCAGCATACACATAAAACGTCTCAACAGATCAGATAGAACTATAACATAAAGGTCTTTTAATCGATTTGAAATCTAAAGATATCGCTTCGACCAGCAAACCTGATAATCCTGATTGGTGAGGTGATGAGCAAATATTGGTGCGGAATCCCAGGCTGAGATGAAACAATTTCCCTCTGGTATCGAGTGGTATTGAAATAAAGACCAATCCTTTGGAAATATCACTCACAAATCAAAATAATATCTACAAAATTTGTCAGCTGGGATATAGACAAAGTTAAATCTGTTTCTTGCATTACAGCTTTATCTTTCCTAAGTGAACCGTGGGTTAGAACAAACCAGATTCCAGCTAAGGAAGAAATCAGGAATAAGAGCTGGAAGTGGATAGGACACACATCGAGTATGTGTGGTAAGTGTTCTGGTCTAACATTTTTTTACACACTTTAAGGAGACATTTTATCTTTGACAGGACTGTTTTGGACAGCTCAGTATTGGGAGTCTGTAAGTTCATAACGCTCTGTCTTTATTTTGCCGAACAGTATAGTGTTTCGATTTCAGGATTTCATCCGTGATGTTGATGTCACGAAGCAAGTTAGACTTACTATTTGTTACTAAAAAGAAATCCGGTAGCTAAGTTTGATTATTTCGAGGTTTTGTCATAACAAAACTACTTCAGCTGAAAACCACTGAGAGTCAAAAACGATTGAAAACGACAGAACACATGATTAAACCCAGGACTTTATGTCATCATAATGAATAGATTATCTCTAGTAATGATACGAGTATCACGGAATGCCATCAACTTATAGCTGTCTTATTTCCATAATTTTACAACAGTTGACTTTAGACTGTACTGAAAACTACTTTTAAAATTTGCTGTAAATCCACAGAAAGACACTTACACCAAAAAATTGTATGATCGTCAGGTTAATGAGAAGCCGTTTAGTCACCTATCTTTAGGTTTAAGTCTTAGAGTTAATACAAACTGAAGTCCGTTCAAAAATTTGTTACTGATATTAATTTATTATAAATGCTTGTTTTGTTAAAATTTACTCCAAACAGTCAAATATTTCAAATTATTTTCAAATCAACAGAATTCCAAGTTTTACACACGTGGATTCATACACATCAATAAACGAAACACCGCCAAGAACAATGTAAACTTAAGATACCTGATTTTAGATTCTGACTAAAATGACTAAAATCACCTCTATTTGTGACTCATATGCGCCAGTCAGGGTGAAAATTCAACGAAATAATACATTTTGAATGTTAGGTTGTCAACAAGCGTGGGCGTTATGAATAAAATAAGGTCAGAACAAAGTGCTATCCAATGAAAATGAAGATGATATGATGAATGCCAATCAATTTACAAGATCTATTATTCAACCAATAGAATTCTTTATGTTTATCTTTTTTTTCAGTTTATTTTCACTCATGTTAAGAACTACAATTGATCTGTCCTTCGGTATGTATGCATCCTAATCTGGTTGCCTTGATACTGTCATTAAGTTACAAATATTTTGAGCTGAGTTGAATTGAGGATAGAACTAGAAGTTAGGACATGTGTCTCGTCCTATTTGGGATTCCTCATCTAGTTGTATCTGCACCCATAGTGTACATGTTGATGAGGTTTAAAGAGAAGGTACTGAAATCGATTCAAGTGTGCAAATATCAATGCTTATCTAAATACATCAATCTAACAAGTCTCGAATAGAAACATAATGCGAATCCTGAATTATACTACTACTGCTATTACTACTACTAGCCATTATCCGATATAGATTATATTGAAAAGCAGATCAATAATACTTATTTAAACTTACCTCTTTTAGATTGAAATCTGGTGGAAGTTTCGACAAAATATCGGATGCTAATTCTTGTACAGCTGATTCTGGTGATTTACCAGCTGTATCTTTTTGTCTTGGTAATGTTAATAAAATTCCAGAAAATAACTTTTACAGTATGAAAGTGAACAAATAAGAGAAGAAGAAGAGAGAATGTAGGCAACTGTATTTCAATTTATTTATTCTTTTTTAGATGGATAAATCACTAATCATAAATTAAAATCATGAATGAATCATTGTTTGAACACCATTAGAAACTTGGAAGCATTGGATTGATTGGGTAGATGAGCTATCCTGTTATTGTGTCATTGATTTACATTCCAGTCGCATCTTACTCAGTGCAAGCTTAGCAAATGTACAAGGTTTAGGAGTAATTTATGAAACTTTCAAAATAAATCAAAGCAGTTCCAGCACAGAAATTAGTCTTTCACATGATGTCTTATTCAATGAGCTTTCTATTATAACAGGACTAATATCAATGGACTGGAAGTTTTTGAAATTAACTATCGGGTTATTATCATATTCATACTATATGTTTACTGTATGATTAGTAGATAACTGTAAGGTTTTATATCTATATTCCCTTTCTTATTGTAATATTTTACGGGACCTGTTGGCTGTTATGATACGTTGTACAATTCTCTAAATACTCCTAGTTAATTCACTCCATTGTCTATCGCTTATGATATGATTCTGTTTTAACTATGGTTTTTTATTTGATGCGTTCTTTGGTCAATCATTTCGAGGGTAATATAATGCTGTAGGCATTTCGAGTCATGAATGAATTGAGAGAATCTTACAAATAAAAACATTTGGTAGGTCAGTCAGAAATTACCAAATGTTAAGTCCAGTGATTGATGCAGAACTAGGTTTCGTTTGAAACGGATGAAAAACTAACCACTGAGTCATATATGTACAAACATGTACACGAGAGTGCAAATCAGTTAACCCGCAAATCACTAAAACTACGATTTCATGAAAGTTTACAGAAAATCAACGCGAAACTAGTAAGTGTGAGGATCTATTTACGCTTCAATAACAATTTGTATCAAAGTGAGTAAATACGGAACACAGTTTTCGGTATTCATGTAGTAACACTTAGAACACTGACATATCCTTCGTCAATTTAAAATACTTAGAAACCTATATATAAAAGTACCCTCCTGTATATCATGATAAGAATGCTACTTTGAAATTATTTCGTCAGACTGAAATAGCTCAACTGTATTACAAAGTTTCTCACAATCTATGTCACCTAAATTTTGTTCGACTATCAAATCTTCCAATCTAGTTATTGGTTTGTAATAGGTACTAAAATTTCTGTTTCAAATTTCAATTCATTTACTGTATGGTCTAAAGACTTCCATTGGTTAACTTAGCCTGTTGTTGAACCAATCAGAGCAAAGCACCGAACAAGTTTTTTGAACAATAATTAAAAATGTCTAAAATATCAGTCTTTATTTGCTGTCTGACTAGTATGATCAACAATCCTAACCCATGATGTGATAAGTTTTAACAGTGTATATAAGGTTTTCAAGAAGAAGAAGAATAACTCTACTGCTTTTTATATTCCATTGTTTTTTATTGATTAATAAAATAAAAGAGTAAACATTGATTTTACTACAATCATTACTTGAAATGTTTCTTGATTATCTTTAGTGATATCAGCATTATCATGAAGTCCATAAACTTCTGGCATTGGATTTAATGGCAATGAACGTATATAATCAATAAATTGTTGAACTGTACCATCCTCAGGACAATAGTAAATACCAGATGGAGAAAATCTAAAATATATATATTCAAAGCAATAAGAACGCATAATATATATTATGGGTTACGATTATTGATATAACTTATATAACCCTTGGAATAGAACAAGTTAAATAAATTAGGACTCCAGTCTGGAAATTGGCTACTCCACCATAATCAGAACTTAAGTGATAACAACATGAAAAAAGGATCGTCACTTTAGAAAAGTGTGAAATTTATTTAATTTTTGCATTATCCAAAAGTGCCAGAATTCAATATTTCTGCTAATTTAACATTGTACATAGAACTTAGAGTTAGTTGAGAATTTAAAAGTATTTGGAGGTTATTCAGTTCTATTTGACAATGTTTTATAATTATTCACTTAAGTATTATCGATTAAAGTAATAATTTACAACTACTATGTAACAATGAAATGGCGTTTTTAGTGTGTACATTTCACCTAAACCATCTATCTCTTAATGACATTTTGTGATTTGACTTCTTGAACTTATGAAATACATTCTTATTTGGTTAAATTAAACTAAACTAAGGAACTCAAAAATAAACACATTTCATCCTATTTAGAACTCATCAGCTGAATGCAAGTGCATCACAGAGTTGATACTGACCCTGTGACTTGAAGCCAGTGTCGTGAATGCGTACTGCTGACCAGTCTAACTCATACCAGGATGAAACGACCATACACTGCTTCCAGGTTTCTAATAGTGGTCTCCGATTGATCAATTCATGATTTCAATAAAATATCTTTATGTTAATGATGTGTGCTAGTGAAAGGAAAGTGTAATTGGTCACTGAGTATGGACAAACAGGCACTTAACCTAATAACTAATAAATATGTGATTTCATTTCCTAGCTTTGATTTCTACACTGGATTCACCACTCAATCTGACTGCTTGTAAGTGTGTGTGAATCAGGTATCTGATATGACGTGCTCAAATCTCCGTGTGGCATAACGTCCAAGTATCCGATTCAGTCGTAGTATACTCGGTCGCCCACTTAGTCTCTGTGTGAACCACTTGTTATAAAAGTTTAATACTTCAGCTATTTATTTGAAATAAAATAGTTACTAATCTCTTCTGAAATAGTTTATCAAGTCAAGAAGAAATTAAATTCCACTATGACCAATATAAACTCTTCCTGGAACCCTTTTGGGGTTACTGCTGTTCCCTAACTCGGATAACGTAGAAGAGTCCGGCATTGGTTAAGCAACTCTAACCTCTAGAAAACTAACTCGCTAAAAAGAATCACTAGCCAGAAAATGCTGGTCGGCAGCAGGCTTATGCTTCAATAAAAGTGAAGATGCTTAAAAATAAGCAATCAATATATAATTGAATAACACATACTTGTAATTTTCTTCTTCAATAATTCTTTTATTATAAAATATACCCAATAATGAAAGTAATAATCGTCTATCTTTATCATCAGTTACACGTCCACCATAATTACATTCACCAGTTAGATAAGTTAATGCTTCAAACGGGATTTCATCATACTGATCTAAAAACATCTAAATTTTGGAATTTTTATTCAAAAAATAAAAAATAAAAAGTCAATAATTAATGTTAAGGAGATTGTGCCAAGTGGTGGATTTCACAATCTGCATCATGAACTGAATTTAGATAATCACTGAGAACTGGAAAGTTGAAGTTCCTGGATTTTCTATATCTGGAGGAGTTTACTTTCTAGGACAAAATCTTTGTTCATTGCTTCTGAGTTTTATAGTGGTTTTGCTGCTAGCTTAGGTTAGTTAATTATATAGACTTAGAATTCTCCCCGTCGAAATGCAAAATCTTGCTTCAAGATTGGGGTGCATCGGCACCTGAACTAGTGATAGGAAGTGAAGTAGTCGAGCGTGTAGACCGCTTCACTTATCTCAGCAGTCTCATCAGTGCTGATGGTCAGGTGACTGACGAAATCTCAGCACAGATACAGAAGGCTCGATTGGCTTTTGCCAACCTGCGTCACTTATGGCGTAGGCGAGATATCCGTTTGCTAACCAAATGACGAGTGTACTGTGCAGTAGTTTGCTCCGTATTACTTTATGGCTGTAAAACATGGCCAGTGAGAGTAGAAGATATTCGTAGGTTACTGGTTTTCGATCATAGGTGTCTTCGAAACATTGCTCGTATATCGCGGGACAACAGAGTAAGCAATGCTGTCGTTAGGAAACGAGTACTAGGTAGGAATGGCAGATCAGTAGATGAAGCGGTGAAACTTCATCAGTTGAGGTGATTGGGACATGTTCTGCGTATGCCTAACCACTGACTGCCCCGACGAGCTTTGTTTTGTAGTGTAGGAATAGGTTGGAAGAAAGTTAGGGGCGGCCAAACCAAAACATGGCATAAATCCATGAAGTCATTGACAAGTGGACTGAGTCATGTTGGTAGTTGTCGACTACCTGGTTGGGGTCCGCGAGATGATAATAATCGATGGTTAGAGACCTTGAATGACATGGCTCAAAATCGTTCGCAATGGCGCCGGTGCATTTATTCTTTGTGTTCTCTCAAATCCTAATCTTCTGGATTCTTCAACACCTCTAGTTTTGACTTTCTAAACTTATCTCACTGAATCATACTTCTTGAATAATATCTTCTAATCCTAACCTCTCCGATTACTGCTAATACCTTAACTACCTCTTCTACTATTGGATTTGAATTGACAGTTCTATCTCTGTGCTGATGTGGTATGGCAACATGAACTGATGTACTTACGTACGAAGTTTTACGTTGCATCTGATTGACTGAATGACTGACTGATAGACTTAGAAATTAATTATGAATAGAAATATATACTCTTATAACTATGAAATAAATACATAGAATAACAGTAAAATGACTAATTCAGTTTTAACTGATCAATATATTTATTCTGTTTGGTCACTGAGTAGTACTGACTTCTGTGTTTGTCAAGAGATCTTAAGTGCTGGTCAAAAAATATCCCAAACATCTTTTAATGTGATCAGTACATGAAGTGACCAAACACGGTGTATAGATTATGTATCGATGGAAGATGATGATAAGAAGTAAACTACAAGAAGTCTAAATGAAACTAGACGTTTTTTGAATGTCCGTCAGTAAGATGTACTCAATAGTCTGAAAAGAATTAATAGTGAACGAACTATTTTGAATTCGCAAAATTCATACAGCAAAACAGTATAAATCTTAATTGAACTGCAAGAATAGTATCTTATCTACTTAATCAAAGTTTTCTGAATTTTATATTTCAAAGTTTAATTATGATCAGTATGTTTAATAACTTTTGTCTAACAAACTAAAATTAATATATTAGATTTTGTAAACTGATTGTTAGAAAGTTTGAAACTTATAAACCTTTTTTAACTTTTTGTGCTAATCAACAGTACCAAATCTCTATCGTTGAGGTGATTCGATTGTACCATGGAGTATCACCAACCAAAACATGATCAAGAATCCATTTCTGTTAGTGTGAACGACTGTCAGTGATTAGTGTTATGCCTTAACACCGACCAGTACTTACAAACGATCTGTGAACAACCAGTACGGAACAAGAACAAGCGAATCGATACTACATGCCTAATATAGGAAGAAGATAAGTGCAAGATGCAAAACCAAACAGTATCACGCCAATCAATGGAAAATAACAACTATACTTGGATGAGCCAAAAGTGACTGTGTTATGCTCGTCAAGTGATATACTTGAACTATTACGAGTTCATCGTAGTCGGTAAGCGAGAGATAAGACAAATGATCCATTGACATGATAGGCTACTCTAATCCGAGCGTCCCAAGACCCCACTAACGGTATCAAAACGTCTTGATATGGCGTAGAGAGTGTATCCTACAATCACCCAGAAAATATGAGGTGTTGTACATAAGGAGAAGAGGAGCATAAAACTGCATACAACGCATATTTATACAGTTAGGTCGACCGTGAATACTCACCAACAGGAAACAACATTTAAGAGTATGTGACTTGATAGTTTAGGACAACCTTAACTATTGACCAATAGGAATCGACCAATAGAATTAGACTCAAAAAATAGTTTCTTTAGGATATTTGATGAAAATTCTAACAGACTGTGAGGAAGAGAGACCGTAAAATAAAATTTAAAAAAACTGGCGATAAAATACGAATAGTAAGTCGTGTACTCTTAACCTATCGATCATAGAATATACATTTTTTGTTTGTTTAAAATGCAACAATTCAACTAATGTCACTCCGTGACAAAAATCATCTTTTAAAAAAATATAGACTATAAAAAAAGGGTGTTAAATGTTATCTCTTCTTTAGTCTAACCTTCATTTGTCGAACACTAATACGTAGATCTGATTCATTAAATTCATATGGAACATTCCAACCAAGTGGACCAAATTTACGTCGTTCTTGTACTAATGCATGAAAGAAGCATAATCCAAACAACATTTTATGCAGTATAGGATTCTACAACAAAGAAATTTAATAAACTATTCTCAGAAATTTCGATAAAACAATAAAGAAATAGCAAAGAATAAATACTTCAGAATGAAAAGATGTATGCTCTGTAAATAAATCATTTAAGTCAGGAAATACAAAACTACCAAACAGCATCGAGTATTCAGCTTCTACTCCATTTGGGCAACTGAATACTCTCTCACTGGGTCTCTTAGCAAAAGCAAACTTTTATTCAGGTCCGTACTTAATTACAAAAATAGAACCATAAGGACTACATGTTTTTAATATCATATTATGGTGATCTGTTGAACAAATAAAAAAAACCTGTGCTATGTGAACAAATAACTACGTGAATGGATTATTGATTGTAAAAATGCATTTGTTTACAACAACACTTTAAGTATGCAATGTATTTAATATGATAAACAGAAGTACACTTTCATTGAAATAATGAATCGATCAATGTTAGACCACTATCAGGAAACTGTAAGCACTGAACGGCCCTTTCGTCTTAGTATGCGACTTCTCTGCAGTGTGCATCCTCCACTCCGTAAGCGCGAGTCGAACCCAGTACTTTTGGTCTCGCATGCGAACGCTAAACCTCTAGACCACTAAGCCGAAATCTAACAATTTTGTTGTCTAACTACAACTAATTAGCGGTGTTGCTCAACTTTATCCATTTTCTTCAGTAGGTAATTAACAAACATCCGACACAGTTGAACTCCGCTGGTTGCGGCTTCCCACTAGAACTCTGAGAATCCATTCGCAAAGCCAGTCACTAATGAGCGTATGATAACCTTTGGGTGCTGGAGGTTAAGCGTTCATAAGTGAAACTGTAAGTCCTGGGTTCGATTCACGCTTACAGGATCGTGGATATGTACTGTTGAGGAGTCATATACTAGGACGAAACAACCATCCAGCGCCTCCAGATTTCTTATGGTGTTCTAACATTAATCGATTCATTATTTTACTGAATAAGTGTTCGTCTTTTAAAATTTGATTAGTTGTTCTGTGAATGTTGAAAACATTACTTTCTTCATTCAAAAAGTATTGTTGAGGAGGTCAGAATAAAACTACAAATCATGGCTGTGATAGAAAACGGATCTAACCAATCGTTTTTCTCTGCATAATTCAGATTTTAACTTATGAATAAATTAGAACTTATCCAGTCTATAGCGAATTAAATTGTACAGCTCTTGAGATAGTAAACTGGACAGAACTGGAAAGGGAAGTTCAGGACAGAGTAGGTTGGAGAAAACTAGTCAGTGGCCTATGCTCCATTGGTGATAACACAGGCGTAAGTTGAGGTGTTGGAGAAAATTTGTAACTCAGAGGATGAACTGTGAACTTTTGATCTATAGCGATTAGTAACACGATGTATTTGGATGGTTTATATCCTATCTTCTAGACAAACTTCAGCAACTCAGCATGTGACTAATGAGTCGCTTTAACCATCTTATTAAATCTGTTCTTTCCATATAAAAATTGTAACCTTCAGAATTCATACGTCTTATAATCATGTCCTTGTAATTCTGCACATATATGCCTTGCATGTATTCTGTTATTCATTATTTTATCTATTGCCTGTCTCATTTTTGCACTACGTATTATCTACTTTCAGGTGTACTCACTTTTCTAATGGAAAGTAAGAAGCTGGCATTCCTAACTTCACCTACTTGCTTCGTTATCCTGCTGTTCATTTTTAATATCTATTTGCTTAAATGACTGAATGTAATAAACTCATTCAATAGAATCCATATTCGGCTGCTTATTACAGCCGTTGCACAAATGGAGTTAGCCTAAGTATGAAACATACAGAATTAAATGGAAGATTTACACAGCATATTTAAAATTCGTTCAAATCGCAGCTATAACGGATCACTAAAGGTTCATTAATTGAAAGCTGACGAAAGCTTAATTACTAGCTAAGGTCAGACAAAGAATAATAGACATTTTCACATCACATCATATTCGTTCGTTAATTACAAATAATTAAAGACTACCAAAGCAGTTGTTGAATTTTGTCTAGTTTGATTTTATTAAAAATGTCAATTGTCAACTTACTTTTGTACAACCATTATAAAATATTGGATCTGATATAGGATCATTTAAATAGGAACGTAATAAATTTGATCGTAAACCCTTTGGCGGTTCATTTGTCATTTTAACACCTTCGAATTATATGAGAAAGAAAAAGGTGATGAATAGAGATGATCATGTTTAATTATTTTTATGAAAAACTTGATAGTTCAATAAGAAAATTTTATTAAAAAATCACACTAAATAGGAATAATTTTTGTAGCTTGTTCAGTGAAACAAGCGTAAAAGAACAATCACTAGAAAACCTCTATTTTGGGAGTTATTACTTGCTTACTTACTTACTTACGCCCATTACCCCTCATGGAACATAGGCCACCGACCAGGATACCCCAACCTACTTCGTCGTCAACTCGCCTTTTCAGTTCTACCCACATGCTATTCATTCTTTTCATGTCTGACTCCGATTCTTGGCGTAATTTATTCCTTAGTCAATTTCTTTCCCTTTGGAATTTACTACTCCAAGTTAGGGCTTTCCTTCTGACGCAGTTTAATGATTTCTGAAATGTATATTCTATCCACCTGCAGTACTTTGTACTAATTTCTTCCTCAATTGGAATCTGGCTTGTTCTCTCCCACAGTAAGTTATTACTGATGGAATCTGGCCAAAGGATGAGGACTATTTTACACAGACAACTGTCAATAAACACCTGTATTTTTTGGATGATGGTTTTTGTAGTTCTCCAAGTTTCATTTCCATACGATAGAACTGTTTTGATGTTACTATTGAAAATTGTGACCTTGGTGTTGGATTTTAGGCAGCATATATATACTCCAGTGTCAATAAAAAGTTTTTGGATATAATATAATTGAAACAAGCAAGAATTACGCTTCATTTTTAAATTTTGAATTCGTAGGTTGATAAATGTCTATTAACATTCAAATAATACGAACAGTTTCATCATTTATGTTTTTATTTCGTAGACAAGTTTATTATTCTATGTAAAGAAAATAATGTTTAGGTAATTCATTTGTCAATTGTTGTCCCTCTCATTTCCATTTATTTACTGTAATGATTTGTTTAATTGAATATTCAGGAGTGTTAGACATTCTTTCGAATTATAATCAGTTATCGCCACACATGTAAAGGAAAGCATATGATATTTCTAATGTTATAATAGTAATATTCTTATGAAAAAATATGATCTCATTGCCACATTTTAATTTCATTTAAACTTAATTATAAATTATCTGTCATTCCCACTAATAACTTTGATAACCCTAATAAAGAAATGCATTTCTATTTAAATGCATATGTTCAAACATTTTACTGCATTTTTTGGTAGAATAAAAGTCATTCAGTCAGTCAGTTGCAACGTAGAACTTCGTACGTAAGTACATCAGTTCATGTTGCCATACCACATTAGCACGGAGACGCAACTGTCAATTCAAATCCCATAGTGATAAAGATAGTAGAGGTATTAATGGTAATGAAGAAGACTAGGGTTCGAAGATATTATTCAAGAAGTATAATTCAGTGAGATAAGGTTAGAAAGACAAAGGTAGAGGTGCTGATGATTCCAGAAGATTAGGATTTGAGAGAGCACAACGAATGGATGCACTTGCGCCATTGCAAGAAGCGAAATGTTTTAAAAAATGCAAAATAACTACCGGTACATAGGACTAGAATGCGTTAAAATAAATCTTATAGAGTATTGTATGGAATTCCATACAATAATATCAAATGGAATCAGCAGCAATTTAACACTTTTCATTATCTACTAGTTTACATTATATAATTGGACATTGAATATTTTGTTTTGTTCAATTAAATAAAATAAAATAAGATCAACTTACCATTTTCTAATATGGTAACAGGAAAATCAGGTGAAGGATAACTAGTTAACCATAAACGAAAATTAACATTCACATTTTCTGGTGTAATTGTTTCTTCAAATATTTTCTCTAATGATTTCATCCAACTAACAGCTAAATGACAATTTTGTAATACAACCCATGTACCATTTTTAATAGCTTGATAAATCATATTTGCTGCTATTGGACCTTGACCTTGACCAAGTGATATTGTTTGTATACGATCATTAGTATATCCTAAATCAATGCCGAATTTAATTAAAGCATTCATTGGATCAGCACCAGGTGATAAGATAAATATTAATGGTGAACAACAATTGGAATCAGCAAATGAACCAGATAAATCAAATGTTGGCGGTTCAATAAATTGTTGACCAAGATTTTGTACAATAAAATCCTAATTTAGAATAATTTTTTTTAATGGAAAAAAAAACAATAACAATTTCAATAATTCACATAATATGAATATGTAGAGTAAAGGTATTTGTAAACTTATAAGCAAGATTCAATAGTTTTGTTGATCAATTGTCACAAATATGGATTTGGAATTATATATCTTTCTAATTTTTTTTACAAAATAATTACAAACCCTAATCGAATCTATTATCAACTCTGTTATCGCCACTTGAGCATGCGCCGCCTATCAGCATTCTCCAACCTACACTGTCCTGGAACTGCCTTTCTAGTTCTATCCAGCTGTTCTTCATTCTTCTCATGTCTGTCTCCATTTTTCGGCATAATGTGTTCTCTGGTCTTCCTATTTTCCTTGGTCCTTGAGGGTTCCAAGTGCGGGATTGTCTTGTGATGCATTTGGTTGCTTTCCCCCATGTATGTTGGATTCACTTCCAGTGCCTCTTCCTGATTCCTTTCCCCACTAGAACCTGGTTTGTTCTCTCCCACAGTGGGTTGTTGCCGACGGATCCGAAGTATTTAATAAACACTTTTATTTTCAGGATGATGGCCTTTGTAGTTCTCAAAGTTTCCGCCTCATGCGGTAGAACTGTCTTGATATTTGTATTGAAAAGTATGACTTTGGTGTTGGTTGATATTTGTTTTGAGTTCCAGATGTTCTTCAATTGTTGAAATTTTGTCCTTGCTTTGTGAATCCGTGCCATTACCAACTCTGTAGTTGACATTTTTCAGAGTTGCTACAAAGAAAGCTGAGGTATTGATGTTATTGGTCTTGTTTAATTGTGCTTAGATTTGGTTTTCTGACGCTGGCATACATATCGTAGTTCTGTTCGTGATCATTATGTCTGGAATTTACCAGTCGTGATTGGAATTCGGAGTTGGTGAGAATATCTAAAGAAAGTATGGATGAGAATTATTCCTATTATTGTTATTTAGATGGTTGTAATCTTTTATTGTGCCAGTGTTGTTCTACTAGTGAATAAAGGTTTTTTTGTCACGGTTTGTTCATTGGTCTTAATGTAATTTAATGAATAATCGTTTTTCATGCACAACTGAACTCATTATCAACCTACAACTTAAAGCTTAGACTTCTATTTAGTTGGTTTTTTCTGTATAAACAGAACAGAATTTCGAAAAAATAAAACTTTTCTTGGTTATTTGTTTTTGTTCAAATCGTGAATCGATCAATTTTAGACCAACATTAGAAAACTGGAAGCACTAGACGGCCTTCGCATCCGGGTATGGGACTCATTATCATCACCCACGACTCTTGCTACTTGCAGGATTCAATCCTAGGACCTTTGGTTTTGTGCGCGAACGCCTAAACCTCAGACCACTAACCCAGCAAGACCGAGGACGATTCGAAATCTTTACCAAGATATATTTATAATTTCAAAGTAGCACATATGAATATTCCAAAACTTGAAGTTTTATATCAGGCATGTACGGTTCCATTTCGTACTTTTTAGGGTTTTCAATCAAATTTGTTACTCTGACTTGTCCTTACTATTTTAGACTTCAATTATCCAGCAATGATATGAACCTTACTGACAACTTAAACACATATCTATGATTAAAAATATGCAAACTGCCTAAATCTTCCATCCACTGTGGTCATATTAGAACATTTGAAATTAGAGATAGTTGGCTGTTAGTTATTTCCATGAATAACCAATCAAATCGTGGTTTAAGCGCTCATCGAGTGATCTGGTCTAATGTGTCTGTAAACCATCTCTGTTGCATGTGACCTACCAATTGAAAGACATTATTATCCTATTATATTATTGTGACTCAATTTTATTCATTTCGATGAGACACGCAATATTGGTTGGTATGTTTGTTCGTTTCACTTAACAGCTGTGATTTCCTTAATTATTGTACTAATCTAATGGTTTTTACGTTTAGAAAAAGAAAAAGTTTAAAGCCAAGTTGTCCTTGTACTGACTATAGCTTTCACATAGACTCTGTGCTCGCCAGCATCGCGTTTACGGTAGGACAAATTAAATCCTACAGTGGTTATTAGTAGTATGATCCAGGATCCGTGTTTTGTTCTATTTGGGACTCGTCAGCCGCATAATAGAGTCTATCCTTACTCCAAAACTTGAACCCAGTACCTTCGACTTTAAATGACATCATGAAATTCACTTAGCTGTTGAGCTCAAATAGTCACTGGCTTGTAAAATGATGTGATCTTCCCACTGATCGTTCGGACTGCAATTGACCAGTCTCATTTGGTATATGCGCATTCTCTGCGGATTACCTTGATATTGTCAATAGGTCACAAGCAAGATAAGTAGAGATGGATGGTGGCTAGTAGTAGAATCCGGAACTCCTTTTTTATTTGACATCTGAATAACCCTACACTTCCACGAGTAAAGTAACTTAAAATAATAAGCTCGAAGTATGCCTATCAGCATTAATATCATCTATACTGCAAGCCGATAAAAGATGTGTGAAATTGAACACATCCGATTTACCACTTAAAATTTGACTGATTAAAATCTGGATTACTTTCTTAACGATATAAGTGAGATTTATAATTATCGTTTAATTTAGCTTTACAGGAAAAATCATAACCTTCACATAAGATATATGATTCAGTAATTTCTATAACTTTTCAATCAAAATATCTTTTTGAGCGCTTGAATCAATCTGTTTAACAAATATGAATCATTTTAATCATTGTATTCAATAAACTTTAATTGTTTTAATAAGTAGTAGTGTTTGCATGTACAACATAATGAACAGTTGGTTTGTGTTTGGAAGCGTAAACAAATATATTATAAATGACTAATTTAATTAGTCGAAACTTACTTGAATTCCAGGAATCACTTTATCTGGACGTATACATCGTAATACAACCAATTTTTCAAGACCATCTAATTTTGAAAATTCTCCAGGAATAGAAAATCTATGAGGTGTTAAATCGTCATACATGGCTTTCCATTCATTTGGAACAGATTGAACGCCTTAAAAAAATACAATGAATTGATGAAAACTAATATACAATTACTAGTACTACTTGTAAGTTAAGATTATTTTGTAACATTTTTACGTATTAAATATGTGAATTCGCTAAAGGCAAACATGAAAAATTATGATCTGGTTGCCTACTAATGCCCTGATGCGGCTGAGAGTAGAAAGTGTCTGCTCTCTCGAAATGCTCTCATATGGCCATGCCCAAATAATCACTGTCGTGGAAATTCTATACAATGCATTCTCGTGCGCGGGGTCTGGATTAGGAAATTGAGAGAACAGAAAACGAGTGTTCAGTGATTTAGGCGAGTAGGTGGGTGTAGAGGATTCATCTAGAAGAGTTGGAAAACCTTGATTCCAAACCCTCAGGAGCTTGAGGGAAAAATGGAGTATGAAACTAACGCTAATGACCCGACATCAAAGGACTACATCTCCTTATATTGATCAACAGCCTTGTTGAATAGACCTACAGATCAAAGGTTCTAGGAATGAATCCCTCCCCCCCCAAGAAGACCGTTTGATTTGATAACAGTGCTTGATGAGCAGCCCATAATATTATTGACCATATTTTTTTGGTAATGATTCGATAACAGTGTGCATGCTTACTCGCTTATCACATGTCTAGCCTATTATTGCTTGACTATAAATACTTAGTAATTCTTCAGCTCATGGAGAGTTGGCTAACTAGCCTTCTCCAATTCGCTTCATTTCGCTTGTACGCTTTCCTTCTCATGTTTGTCTGCACAAATGATTGCATGAAAAAAAATTCTCCCGCGACACCGTATTCGGCTTTTTATTATCACCGTCGCACGAACGAGGTTAACCAAAGTATAATATATATATGGAAGTGGAAAGGAAGATTTATTTTATTGCACACTCGATCATTCGTCCACTCAGGAGTCAAGTCATGAGCCGCTAAAATGGTACATCGAGTCTAGTTCGTTGATTCGTTCAGTGAATCCATTAAGTTCCAGAGCTGCTTTTTCGATCTACGGCGTCGGGGTCGGTAACATTATGATTGCGTGGATTCGGCGTCCTTGTCATGTTCGATTTGTCGTCGGTATATACAAATTGCCTGCATTATATTCACTATTCAGATGCTTGCATTTGTTACAATATTTTGCAATGTAAAAAAACTGATTAAGTATCTGGATAATAATGAATTTAACTATGCTACTTACTATCCATAAATCCTTCTAATCCTGGTAATTCTGAAGCCCGTACAATTTCCGACCAACATTTATCGGATAACCAGTCAGGACATGGATTGGCATGAGGGTTATCAAGGGCAACACCACCAGTTAATAGAAAACGCCAAACTGTATTATTTACTTTCCCTCTAATTAAAAATGTTCATCATAAATTAAATGATTAGTGTTGTAAATAAGTAGTTTAAACAACAATTAAATTGATGATAATCTGAATAGCCCTGATTATAAGTAGGATTCATGAAAGTCATGGGTTCTAAGCCTGCTGTGGAATACTGTATTCGGGGCATAAAGCAACGTACTGGTTCATAATATTTATTCAAAAAAGGTCATGGTCTGTGACGCATCGCATACTTAAAAATAAAATCACTTTCAATAATTCATTTTTTTGCTACTAACATTTGTGAGGAATGAATTACCGAGTGTTAGTTGGCGTTTCACGAACCGATGCCTCGGCATTATTTAAACGAACAAGTTGAATATATGCATGAATAATGATTGAGATTGGAATAAATCTCTGTACTATTTAGAGTTTATCAGTAATATATATATCACAATGCTGTGAGGAATAATCAGACATATAAATCATTGACGACCGCAGTATTTGAACAATAATAAATCGTTAACGATAATAAAACCTAAAATGAGAAGGCTATTGCAATTATGAGTTGACTGAGACTATAGCATACTATGCTAATACTGATAAACATCAAGTATAGATTGTGTTTTGAATATTAAAGTTCTTAAACAAACATCATTAAGAAGAGATAGCAAATAGTGACTCAGTCGTGACTCAATCCAAGTATGATTACTTTGTACAAACATGACGTGAAGAGAAATCAATAGAATTGCACTAAGAGGAAAAAAATCAGCTCACAAGAAAAACTAAATGAACATACTTTCAACCTTTAACTAACACTTTCATATCTCTCACATACAAAGATGTAGATCAGAATTAGGAGCACATTGTTAGAGTTACTAGGAAGGAAACTCTGTCTTACATAGATTTCATGATAGTTATGGCTTATCAGTAAAACGTGGTTGGAATCTTTAGAGAAGCTAACGCTTCAAATATACACCACCTAGTTTTTTAGTTTTCGACTTGAATAACTAACTTGAATAGCTATCTGGGCACAGACTAACTTGCTGTAGCACTGATACATTTACAATTCCAAATCGATCAACAGAATTCCATTAACACTAAAGGTCTAGGACATATTAAATATTAGTCACTATTACTCAATGACCAATAAGTACCCTGATCTATTTAAACTTTGATTTAATTTTAATATTGTATAGTAAATATTGATTCTGTAAACTAATCGAAAGCTTACTGAATAATCTTTTTCCAGTCTAATCTTCTACATGTTAACATATTACAAGATCCTTATTTGTTTACAATCAGTAACCTACTTTTATCAGTAGTCAAATCATAAAATATTGAGTATAGTACTTCAGTCAGTCAGATGCAACGTAGAACTTCGTACGTATGTACATCAGTTCATATTGCCATACCACATCAGCACAGAGATGTAATTGTCAATTCAAATCCAATAGTAGAAGAGGTAGTAAAAGTAATAGAAGTAATCGAAGAGGTTAGGATTCGAAGACATTCAAGAAGTATGATTCAGTGACAAAAGTTTAGAAAGTCAAAACTAGAGATGTTGAAGAATCCAGAAGATTAGGATTTGAGAGAACACAAAGAATAAATTCAGACGAGGACAAGGTTATTTCTAGGAGCATGTCTATGATAAAATTAAACAAGAATAGAGAGAGTGGACATCCCTGACGGACACCACTTGAAGTGAAGAATGCCGGTGACAGTTCGCCATAAGCTCTCACTCGACCAGTGGTGTTCGAGTAGAGAGCTTGTATGAGGTTAATGTACTTCTTTGGTACACCTTTCAATGACAGACACTGCCACAGAACCTCACGGTCCACTGAGGAAAACAACTATTGTAGGACGCCTAAATGTGTGTCCGTGTTCCATGACCTGTCGTAGTGTGAAGATGTGGTCTATACAGCCACGTCCAGGTCGAAAACCAGAGTGGTTTTCTCTAGTCTGCTGTTCACGAGCTTTCGTTAAGCGTCGAAGTATTATTGAGGCCAAAATTTTAGATACTATATTAGTTAGACTGATTCCCCTGTGATTGTCACAAGAAGACTTTTGTCCGTTCTCATAAATTGGGACAACCAGTGATTGAGACCAGTCGGATGGGATTACGTCCAGTTCCCAGATTCTACCTAAGATCTCGGTCAACCTAGCTAATAAAACTGGACCACCATCCTTAAATATCTCAGGGGTCAGTCTATCAGGACCCTGCAGCTCGTCCTCGCTTCAGATTTCCTAACGCTTATTCAACTTCATTAAGACTAGGGGGACTTACGTCGATTTGCGATTCAGGATGACTGGAGATCGTGGGTAACCGAAGAGTGGCTCGAAGCCAGTTGAACTGGCCTATTGGTCCAGTCTCTTGGATTGAGAATAAATAATAGTCCCATCCTATTCCGAGATAGTCTCACTTACACTAGGATTCCTAATACCAGTTTCCTTGATAAGTCAGAAAAGTTGTCTACTGTTGCCTATTGCCGCTGCCTTTTCCATCCACCGAGTATAGTACTTGGTCTTTGAATAATTAGTTAAAATTCATTCATATTCGACTTTTTTTAAAAAAAAAGAGAATAAACTTACTTATTACTCATAAGTGAATAGCACATAATTAAAGAAAATAATAATTTATGATTTTCAAATAATGAACGACAAATATTTCGATAAACACTTGTTGTAAAATAACTATTCAATAATTCAATTCGTTCTTCTAAAATTGGTGATTTCTCACTATTCGAAATAGACTGTAGTTAAGAAAATAACAAAAATATAAATGTAAATCTATATTGGAAAGAATTTAATTAAGAAAGAGTGAAATAATTTGAATATACAAATATTGTACACTTTATCGAATAAAAATTATTTGTGTGAGTTATGTAATTTTTTGTGGTTGCGTTAAATATCACGTCAGGTCACCACCTGATGGCTGCGTTAGATTTTGGTGTAGAGCTTACCAATTTGGTGGAGGCGTTAGATTTGACGTGGGGTCCACTACTTTAGCTGTCCCTGAATTGACTTCTTTATTTACGAACAATCGTTTATGCCATGAAATAAATCGTCCCGTCTGTTCGACGGCGGTAGTTAAAAGTCAAATACGGATTCATTTGTAAAAGACTTTATGTCAAGCAATCGTTAATGTACTCATTTAAGCAGAAAGACGAGAATACAAAGCGCGAGTGCGCCGACTCCCTGCGATGGAGCATAACTCAGTATTTATAGTCAGATAAAAATAAGCTATACATGTAATAAGCGAAGTAAGCGGTGAACACACAAACGGGAAGAGAAACAACCACGATAGATGCGGACATTTGACAAGACCAAAAGATGGATGAATAATAGTAATTCGGAAAGAATGGATTAGCTTATTTGTCTGAAGGCTTTGAACAAGCCCTTGGGCTTTGGAGTCATGAGATTCAACTTCTTTGTTACTAATAATCTTTACATTAATGTATATTGATAAATGCAAGGACGATTATTGTTTGAATCTAAAACGTCCGTTGCTGTAATTGTCAATAAAACTGTTTTATATTCATTTAGTGTTACAATAAATTATAAGAAAGGAATTTTCCGTAAAACAAAATCAACGACAAACAACTTACTGATAAGAATAAATTAATAAACCATGTCAATGAATATTGATACATAGGATCAATATTCGATAAATCTGATATACAAAAGAATAATAATGAACCATGCTCAGACACTGGACGATAACCATTACGTGCAGCATCAATTTCTAATTGAGTATTCTCTGCTACAGCTTGTTTTTGAGTGATTTCTTCACTTAATTTTTTCGATGAACTTAACACATTGATAGCAGTTTCATTCTCTAAAATATTTCCTTGTGAAGTACTTAGTACTTCTAATATTTTATCTTCTAACTCTTTTAATTGACGTTTATTATCTGCGGATTCCACGATCAATTGATTTTTGATAGCTTCTAATTCTGGTTTCTCTTCAGCTGTCACAATACCTAATAGTTGATCTTGTAAACCAAGTGGTGTAATCATAAAATTGATCAAACAAACTTTCACTGCGATTTCCGGTAAATAATGCGGATTACGCATTCGTGTAGTAATGTAAAATCGAAAATTCGAATTATATTCAATCACATTATCACCAAGACGTATACACCAACTGCCTTGTGATTTGAATAATGAACGTTGTAAAACTGGTTCTAGCACTGCATCTAATTCTTCACCGACATTTTCCATTAATACCGGTGAACCAAATTGAATAGCATTTTCTAATGTACGCAGATAATGTGTATCACTTAGTTTGATAACTTGTATTTTATTATCTTTTTCCATGTTTTTAATCCATTTATTTGCTTGACCTTTTGAAAAAATGGAATGTAAATAGGGAATTTTAAAAGACGTAGATAACAACAATTGAACTTTTAAAATGTATAAATTAGAGAGTATGCTGAATGTTCAATTGTTTTTTGATGTTGAGCTTACCATGAAGCAATATCATTTGTGAAACATATTGAGAATTAAGTACTGCACTTCTGGTTTCGACTATATTTCATGACCGTTATTACTATACAACTTTGACAATGTCAACACCGACAGCTGAGTAACCAACTGGCTGTGTAGTTACCTATCTGGATGAGAACGGTATTCCTATGCTCAATTAGATGTGCCAGAAAAAGTAGTTATTTCCTTCTTCCCCTCTCCTCACATCTTTCTCTTTGTCTATATTCTGGTAGGACAAGACGCCTGTACATTAAAATCTGTGCATGCAAGCAAAGGTATCTTTTGGGGATTCCCAGAAATCTTTTGATAATCTTCTTACTTTTGTAATTATGGAAATTTGAACTTCTTATTTTTGTGCCGAAATTGCTCTTTATCACCTTCAGTTTGTGTTTCCTAATTGGAGGGACATAAAATGTGTGACTTGTTCATTTTTGTCTTTTCAGTACGCTAATTTGTGACTCTTCTAAAAGACATCATTTGTATTGTATGTACTACTGATGAATTGATTGTTTGTTGGTCGTTCATTCCAAGCCGACTGTATATGAGTTATTTTTCCTGTGGACTTTGGACGTTTTCTTTTAGTTAGCTGGGTTCGGACGCAGAGGAAATAGTTTAGCTTATCCTGTAATTGTGGCACTGTTCATATAATCCGTTCTCTGATATCCAGTTGTATCTCGAATATCGCAAACATGGCAGTAATAAACTTTTATAAGACCGTAGCTAGCAGATATACTACACAATACATAGGTTGTAAGAGTTTGCATACTTACACAAGCCACTAAATAAAAGAAGTATAAATTTCGATATGCTTGCGATAATTAAGATACAGCTTCGTCTCAGCGAATAGGACGTCTGACCAGTGACACAGAAACGAGACAAATTAAGCTTTTCCACTGCGCCCTCAGGTTTTCTACTTATTTCATTGGTATACACACTGTATTTCTATTTTTTAATAGGAACTGGCTGAAATACTGTGTTGAAGATTCTATACTGCTAGTCACTAACTTGAGGTACAAAAAAGCCCACAATGTTCCGCTTTTATGAAACATATACATTTTTAACTACGAAAGATATCACTAATACTAATTCTACTTTTAAATCGTTATTAACTAATGTGACGTTATTGAAATATAACTCGTTGGCTATCAGTAAAACGTTATAAAAGCAATGAATTATGTTTCTTGATACTTATTCACAAAAATCATCAGCTAAATTCGAAAAAGCATGACTACAGTAGTAATCTGTACAAAAAATATATTTAACCTATCAAAACACAATTGCTTTATAATCAAAGAAGCGACGAACCATACATACTGAAGTCATTGATTTTAATGCATTCAGTGCTCAATGTTCAAACAATTATTAATATCAGGTTTATAATCCTAATGTGAATTTTCTTTTTCTTTAATGAAATGTGGATGATATTTTGGTTATATGCGATAAAGAATTCAATGTCTCTCCGTTATTGAATAATTTCAGTGGTCTTCAGAACGACATTGTCCTAAACCGCGAAGCAGAAAGTAATAACCAATTGCCGTTTTTAGGCATACTGTTTAGTCGAAGGGAGAATGGAATTATAAAGCTGTCGGTTTATAGAAGGCCGACCTTGACCGGACAGTATTTAAATTTCAGCAGTTTTTATCCGCTGTAACATAAGCGAGACTTAGCAAAATGCCTCTTCAATATGACCACAAAGAATTCGCATCACGGATACACCTGGAGTCGATGCGAAATTGTTGACTCTACGATTGATTTCAAACGGTTACCCCCTTCAGTTCAATAGGTGTAGAAATCATTTAGACAAAAGCCTGTTTTTCATTGTGCTAAAAATAAAAATGTTTATATCACTTTACCATCAAATCAAATGGTTTTATCTTAAGACACTGACTAAAAGCAGCCATAGAGGAAACACACTACGCTGCTAAACTGATTATAATTGAAAAAAAGTAAGCCCACATAAGCCTAGACATTGGTCGAATGATTAGATCACATCCTATTGCAGTTATCAAATCATATTTTTGTGTGGACACACATACATAAGGATGAGTAATCGGACTTTGCAATCAAGGGTTATGGAACATTTACCTAAGTGACTTCAAAATCAGTTAACTTCAGATGAGCCGATAAACGTGAGAAACAGAAAACCATGTTTATCAATCTCAAAACACATAATTGAGACAGGACATAACATAGACATCAAAACAGCCTTCAAAACATTGCATAGACACGTTGAAGGACGAATTCTGAGGTTTATTTAAGCCTTGACTATTCGTAATGAAATATTGTTTATGCGAAATTCAAGTGAATTCTCCTATAAAGTAATAAACCTACCTTGTGGATCTATACATAATGACCATCTATTAGAATTTGTAACAATAATACCATTATCAATAGAAAAACTATCTACTGGTAAACCAGCAATATTCCATGAACGAATTTTAACCGGATCACCTAATGTATCAGAGATACGAAATACTTCCGAACAAGGAATTCCCAATTTCCGACATAATTGATGCCATTCTTGTTGTATAGCCGAACGAAAATCCACAGTATATGGTCCAAGATAGGCAACAACACCAGCGCTTAACAAAACATCTCCAATAATATTTATATAACGTTCCTGACAAAATAAATAGATCAAGGGTAGACAATGATAATATATATGTATACGAATGAGAGGTGAATTAAGAAAAAATATACAAATCGTGAGCACAAGTTTTCACTTTGAAATTACAAATTCCTTCGCGATTTCCGATATCACATAATGAATCGTTCACTGTCATGATTAGGAATATTTTCAAAAAATAAAATTAAGTCGATTAACTCAAACCTAATCAATAAAAATTAGTAATTATTAAGGATGTGAATTATTCCAGAACGGAATCTTTGATCAGTTTCTAATGATTTATGTGTATTGCTTGTATATTGAGTCTTTATATGGCCATTTTGTCATAAGTGTTTTATACTAGTCAGAATAATTCAAAACTTTAGTAACATTTATGTTCACCGAATGAGTTGATCGCTTTCTGAACCTACTATCTCAATGGATTGCTCACTAAACTTTGAAATACTATATACTAGGTTCAAATCTGAGCATTTACATACTGTGAGACTGATGCATCCAGTTGACGTGTCACAACTCCTGGATTTCACCTCTCTCGAGCCACGATCGTTAAAATTAATCTACTTTATTCAACATATTGATTGGGTTTTCGAGTTGAATAACAGGCAACATTTGTTTCTATTGCAAATTTACTGGTATTTGGTAAAAATTAACTAGTACTCTGGAATTAACTAACAGAGTACTCCTGTCAAATACTTTTAAATCAGTATTTACATGAGGAACCTCATAAAACTAATAGACAATGAAATACAACATTTCGCTCCAATTAAAACCTTGATAAAGAGTTATTAATATCATGTGGAATAAAATTAGTTTAGATCAGTTGTACATTTCTATCATATGGAATTCATTATTCAATTATTTCCATATATATTTATCTATTCTTATTTACTGTACATAATTTTTTCTATTCAAGTTATCAACAACAAACAAAATTTGAATGACTCAGAATGTTGATAGCCTTAATATGATGATGAATTAGTTATATCGACTGTCAACGTATCACACGTTAATGTGACATAGAAATGAAAAGTTGACTACAAAATTTGTTTAGGAACGCGCGTATTTCAGAAAATTTTGTGAGCGGACCAAATGAATGGATGAGAATATTGACGTTTCAATCAAAATCGTTGAGTAAAAGTGCGTTTTAATTTATCTATAAGTATTCTACAAAAAAATAACAAGCACGTAAATAGACATAGGCAAATAAAGCAGTACTGATGAAAGTGAGTAACCAAGACAATCAAGTATAAAAAAACTGACCAATAATGGTAAATCGACTCGTCTATACCGATGTCAAAGTAAGCTCATGCAGACCCCTTATAAGGGTCACAATATATCTGCCTTAAAATAAAGAGGTAAAATGCAGTACAATAAAGTATTGTTACATAGCATACTTCTTATCCTATATGTATTTGCATGACTTTAATTAGATTTATTATTCTTACTTTTAACATTTCAGTAGCTTCAGTCCATCGGGTTTTTTCTCCGCCTAATCCACTAATCAACTTTTCGGCACGATCCAACTTTTTACTGCACAAATCAATATTATCTTCTAAATCTTGTTTCTTTTTTTGCATTTCTTCTAATTGATCTTGTAAACCTTGAAATTTCGCTTGAATTTCATCTAATGCAGCTTTCTTTTCAGCTAATTTAGCCATCTATAAAGAACAAAATGAAAATAATCATCAGTGGAATACTATTGAATTTTAATTATCGAGCTTTTGTCGATATATATTATCGAAGGACAAAATGACTAAGGAAGAAAAACCAAATTGCTCAGGCTGTGAAAAACACTACATAGGACAAGGTGAACGGCCTCTTCAGCTTCGTTTAAGTGAACACCAATTAGCAGTCAAATGCCACGACAACGCTTCGCTTATATCAATACACATCGACAATTATGGACATACATT